TTAAAAATATCACTTCATAATTTTACAATATCAAATTGTACTTTTTATTAAGATAAATTGATTTTTTTGCTAGGATCAGTTTCTGATTTGTTGCTGTTCTCACCAGAAAACTGGAATTTTACTTTCAAATGTATGCCTGTAGCTGGGTGCTGTGCACACACCTAATTCCAGCTATTTAGGAGGTTGAGGCAGGAGGATCTCTTAAGTCCCAAAATTTTGAGGCTGAAGTGAGCTATGATTGTACCACTACACTCCAGCCTGGGTGACAGACTGAAACCCTGTCTCTAAAAAAATTGATAAATAAATTTATTCCTGTACATGGCCAGTGATAAAGAGCAATTCAATCCATCTGCTTCAAAAATTTTTTTCCTTGTATTTTTAAATCAGTTATATTTCTAAAGATCCAGTGCTTCCCTATTCACCTTTTCTTTTGTTCTAAGAAAAAACATGAATAGTAATTACTTAAGAAAAAAAACATATGGAGTATAATATTAATGATTTTCCCTCAGTTTGTGGTATGACTCATCTTAACATGGTCCCTGAAGAGATAGGGTTTTGTTCTTCGCTTTGAAACTGGAAATCTAATTAATTGGTATTGGATTTCTGGAGTGCAGGCAAATGGAGAAGGGGACCGGGAGGAATTGCTCTCCCAGCTGCCACCCAGGAGGAAAAGAAGAGTCAGAAAAAGATTATAGAGGTATCCTTGCACTGTCTCTCCAATCAGAGTTCTACATTTGTAAAACTGCGCTATTAAAAAAATTATAGCTATTTTATGATTTTTAAAATCTTTTGGGGAGTGAAGAAGAAAAGGCTAGAATTATTATTTTCATTGTTACTCTCTCAGGCCATGTTCTTCATCTAAAAAGAATAACTTTAGTGGTTAAAGTACAGCAGGAAGAAATGATGAAGTCAAGGCATAGGGGAGAAATCTTTTCCTGGGCTTGGAAAATTAAATTTCATCACCTATTTCTTGGATTTAATAGTTCCATATGTAACAATGAGATTTCATAAGGTTTTGATCATAGGAAACTCTGGGCCAAGCCTTCTACTCGTTGAGTTTACTGAAGGATATTTTTGTAACAAAATATATTTTTATGGGTAATGGATGCAAAATATAGAAAAGTAAAATGGTTTGTGACCGCTGAGAAAATGCTTTACTTAAAAATATTAAATAGTGTGTTTTAGTATAGTAGTGCTATACTTATAACAGAAGTATAAATATCTAAGGATTTAAGCATATTTGTATCTGGTACATAAAAATAGCATACTCACTACTGAAATGCTCTGTCCAGACACCAGCATATGTCCGGTTAACTTAATAGTATTTATCAGAGGAGTCCTATTCTTCTTCTTCCTCCCTCCATTCCTCTTCCTCCTCCTATTTAATTTCAGGGCTCAGCTGAACATTAAAGAGAGGTGGTAATTACTTCATGAAAAGTACCCAAATAACAAACTTAGGGCCAGTTTAATTTAGATTCCAGTAACATTGGCAAAGCCATATATGTGGGTGTTTTCTATCACTTCATGTTATTAATTTTTTTCTTTTTACTATTGAGAAATGGTCAAAGCACAAGTTCAATACATAATTGAAGAACAGATGACAAATGAGCTAGGAAATACATATATTTCAAACATTCTTGTGAGGACAGGAGTAAAACACAGTGAATTCTTTTGTCTCATTTATTTTATAAGAATGAAAATTTCCCATTCTCTTAACATATATATATAAAGTAGTACTTGTGTGAATTTTGCAAGATTTGCTTTCGAAGTTCTCTTGCAGTTTATCTATAGACTCATTTGGGGTTTTCTTCCAAATCACATACTCCGCTAATATAATTTCAAATTTATCTTATGACAATTGTTGTTTTCATTTTTCAGTTGGAGATTGCTAGAGCTTCAGCTGAGATAAACCTTTTTCCAGTATTCCTTAACATCGCTTTTCAAGGCCAGGCTGAGATTCCTGGTAGCCCGATGCCACACATGCATTCCTGCCTGTTTCCTTGCTGCTATCCACTTGCACGTCCTATAGAATCCGAATCAGTTACAGTGTATGTGAAATGTTTTCAGTGATGTCTGACCATTATCATCTCTTTTTTGAACTTAAAGTTAAGTTCTTTGGAGGTTAGCCCTGTATTCTCATTTGGTTTGATTGTGATAGTTTTGCCTTCCTGGCTAAAGTGTGAGCTCTCAGCTGATGAAGATCATTCCTTCCACTTCTACTGCCACACACAGCTCCGGCCATAGACGCACAGACATGGGCTGCTGAACCCATCGTGTCTCTGTTCCATTTCCTCACGTGGGCTCACATAGGCCGCTCATTCTCCGTGACTGGTGTTAGCTGCTGTTTTTTTCCTTGGAATATTTATCAGTTGAATATTATAAAGAAAAAAAAACCAGCAGGTTTCATTATTATAAATAATTTTTAGGGTGATAATTATTTTTATCCATACTTTCCAGTAGTGCCCAAAATACATGTTTTGCCAGATCTAAATCATCTCTTAATTTAAATATCTGATCTACAAATTCCTAAAAATAAAATACTGTGCAAATTTGATCTTGATTCTACATATCTTCTTAAAAGTTAAAAGTCCAAAATTGTTTGCCAGAGCACGTTGCTAGAATTTAGAATACCCGGGCACGAGGACTCTTCAGTGTTTAGGAATATGCCTGATTGAGTTATCTATGTATAAGTTTTATAAGTTTCATAAAATATTAATGGATGAATTTAGATCTTCAGAAAGATGATCATATCTTCAAAATAACATCTCATAAGTTCTAGTGATTATCTTTAAAAGTCTTGGAAATGAATTACTATCACAGATATTATTTTGTATTTCTTTGGCCTAAAAATGCAACATTAGGATAGATACCACAGAAAACAATAATTCACTACTATTGTGGTATCAGAATCTCATATGCCAAAGAGTCTGGTGTTTCCTAGCTATCAGGGGTAGGTACAGAGTTGCCTTTGTGATTAGCAGCTGCTGCTTCATATCTCACTGTCCCCTAGCATTAATGTAAGTTAAGTTCATCGTTTAGAAAGAATAAAATAACCAGTTGTGACAGTGGGAGTGTAGATCTTGGAGCCTTGAGAAAATATGAGATGGCTTGAAACTTACCAACTATAGCAAGATAAGATGATTTGTTAGTTAAGACTGGTTCTCTTCAGGAGACTCTTTTCCCATATTTCTTGTCCCTGCCCACCTACTCTGTTCCTCTCCCTGCACCCTGAGGTCCAGTGAGGCTAAAGGGGAAAATCAGTTCCTCTTTCCACCCACGCTTGACTTCACTGGCTCCTGCGCTTCACTGGCTCCTGGTGGTGGTGGGTGTAGTATGTCAGTAGGCCACCAAATATTTAGTGGCAACCTGGTCTAAAATAGGGACAGTGCTAGCTATTGAGGATCCAGACACGGTCCCTGCTTTGTGAAACCTGCCTTCTGGTGGGGATAGCGCACCATTTCACGGACTGTGATTCACAACACAGGAGAGAGGAGAACGGGGATGTCCCGGGAAGATACATGAGAATCTCACGCAATCTCTGTATATATTCTCAGCACACATTCTTATAGAACCCCACTTGGGAGATTATCTTCTCAAGTACACCATTCCATTTTGAGAATCACCACTGCTCCTGAAAGATGTTACTGATGGGAAAATGTTAGCCCCGTGAATAGTCAGGAGGCAGAGGAAAGGCTACAAATTCCCCAGTCTCTGGGATGTCAGCACATTGCTCCTAGACAGGGACTGCGACAACACCAAAGACAGCAAATAATAAGAATGTGATAGGACCACTTCAGTCTATATTGTCTGTTACACGGGTTTGGACTCTAGCATTGATGAAACTTGGGGATCCTTAGGTCTGAGGCATGCTGTGGCCTCCAAATCACAGGACACGAGCCCTGGCCACATCCAAGGAGGCTCCACAGAGAGTGGTGTGGATGGCGGTACTCCAGGAAATTTTAGTTAAGCTCTTGTACCAAAAGCTCCTCTGAAAATTTAGATGAAGCATCAGGTGATGATATGAGTCCTATTGCTGTATTGGTGGGTAGAAACACGAACAGAACCTGAAGAGAAATCTACAGTCTTAGAGCGTGAATTGCCCCTGCCCCCCTCCCCCAAAAAAGTATGTCCCGGTGTACATTTATTTTGCATCTATTTGGCAATGAAAAAGATTCAAGGAAAATGAGGATGGGAGGGTCATATGAAATAGTTTACACATATATTGGTGAATATGCATCTTTTTCTTCTGTGAGCTTTTTCACAAAACAGTGTCATTCTATGATGGAATGTCTTCCCAGGCCTTCCTGTCTTGGTGGGCCTGAAGGCTGCCTTGTATGTTTCAATCCAGGGTCACATACTGCGCACCTCTGTACTAGAGCAAAGGACAAGCCATTGACATCTCTGGGTGTCTCTTTGCTCTGTTGTAAATAGTTAAGTGCCTTGAACGAGTCTGGGGCCACATCTTTCTAGCCACTCTAAATGTGCATGTGAGCAGAAGTGGAACAATAGAAGAGTCAAGGCAGACATTGCAGAGTGTCCCCTGGGAATGGCCGTAGCAGGCTTTAAGACGTCTTGTTATTTCTTCTTCAAATGTGTGCAAATATATCTCTGATGGTGCCACTGAATTCTAAACAACAGACTCTCCTTTATCCTAGTTTAGGGAATCTCTTGAGTAGAAACTAATTGTGCCCTAGTATATAATAGTTTCATAATCTAGAAAAAAATGCCTATCAGGGACTAGCACGAAACCTCTAAACTCATTTTCTCAGCAGTCTGAAAGGGGATCCGAGCCACAGGTTCTGAAGGTGAAAAGTTAATGTTCTGGCTTCTGCTTCCAGCGGTTTCTCCCATTCAGGGGCAATGGGGATCAACTCTAACTCTTTTATAGCCACATCTGATCCCACTAGAGATTTTTAAAAATCATTACAATAAAAATATTTCTGTGTCACTCTGTCCTTGAAATAGCACTGCCATTTAATTCACACTTATGTTTGTTGCAGAGAAAGCAGCAGCTGCCAACATAGATGAAGTGCAGAAGTCAGACGTATCATCTACGGGCCAGGGGGTCATCGACAAGGATGCGCTGGGGCCTATGATGCTTGAGGTAGCATACCCTCATTTTGCTTCTGTACTGTAAAATGCTGTTGATCTTCACACTGTTATGTTTAATTTCAGGTGAATATAATTTAAGAAGAATCCACACTACTACTATGGTTCTCTTGAAGTCACTAATACATATATATGTGTCTATGTATGTTCTGGCTCCTGCTGCCCAGCATATATATGTTCCAGAATTAAATTAACCGGATTAGAATATACATTGATAGGTTTTAATTGCCAGTTGAGCATTCATTTTGGAAAACCATATTCATAAGTCTTGTCAAATTCTGTGATACATTTTGGTTTGAAATGTTCTCAGAATTCTTACATTTTATATATGCCATGTACACATGCCTACATATACAGGTTTAAACTTCAGGACCAAAGAAGAGGTTTGTGCTTTTTATTTATGTTATTTCAAATAACTTACTTATCTCATAGTGAAGAAAATTGAAATAGGCAAAAGGAACTTTTAAGATAAGCATAAAGTATAATGGGTGGTCTTATAACTGCCTGTTCTTTATTAACTGTAGGAAACTTTATGACCAGCTACCATCTAGAATTTGTAAAGTCGAGTTTTCCTTTTTGTTAACTAGTACTAAATACCAAGTGCTTTTCCATACCTGTTCCAAAATTAAAATTCAAGATGTAGGCTATGGTAAGATGAGGAAAAAAAAATGTCAGTGAATGTCAGAGGAACCCTGAGACATAAATTATGTCAGTTCTCAGGATAATTTTCTCTGCTGATGATATAATGAGGTGGAAACTTTGCAGTGTAGTCATTGCAGCATCAGCCTGCTGCAAAAGTCATGCATATACTAGAAATTAGGGTTTTTAAAACAAAGATAACCAATAGTCACTCAACCTTATCACCTCTTTTTTACTATTGATGCATAAAGTAATATTTATTTTTAGAAAATCTAATTCTCTAAAAATATACTATATAATTGGGTGAGTGTGTTGGTTGGGGGGTGGGTACACAGAAAAGATTTAAAGATCATCTGACCCAGTCTTTTTATTTAGAAATGACACAATTTGTTCCCTTGGGCTGGACCTGCTGGCCAAAGGTTTTAAATGACCAAGTGTTAGGCCTTGCTTATCTTCTCTTGAATCACTGGCTTGAAAACATTCAACAAGTTCCAGGGGAAAAGCAAAAACACACTTAACCTGTTCTTCTGTAGTCAACAGGGCAGTGGAAGGCCAGGGAGTGCTACTTCTCAGATGGTTTCTTAGAAGCAGATAATGAAAACTGTAACTAGGACTATTTAGAATTATATGAAATAAAGTGGATAACTTCCTTTGGAAAGAATTTTGAATTATAAGCAGAAAATTGATTTGGAAATTATGGTAATCTAAATTATTACAACTGGGAAGTTTTCCATATATCTGTGTTTATTCATTATATCTGGGTGGAAAAATTAGAGTGGAAACTCTGGCAAGAGTTGGAGCTTCTAAAAAGAAATGCTTGGAGTAACCACAAGGCTTTGACTCAAGCCCTTTTAGAGCAAGGTCATTAATTGTAGAAATCAGATTGCTAGATGTCAGTGGACCTGATCTCATGAAACCCAACCAACATTTTTGCCATTTGAAAATAATATTCTGAGAATTCAGTGCATTGATTCAAGTACCTGTGTAGCAGGACTTTAGTCCTGAGTATGTTCGAGAGGTAATTCTTGAATCTAGTAACTTATGGTTTGAATTTAAGTCATTATCTCTGTTTACATGCAGTCATTTAAACAGAGAAAACATGTTCTCATGGAGCTGTTCCTAGGCATAGATGCACATTCATGCTTACATCATAGCATAGTGGTTGCTAGGCAGCAAAACCAAATGTCAGCTTTTTTCATCAGAGCATACCATAGTGAGCTTTAAAAAAACAAAAACAGTTTATGAGATGAAACAATTTCATCTTTCAGTTTTATTATGCCACAAATCAGGTTTTTTTTACTGTAACACAAAGTAACATGTACTTGCAAAAAAACTATAAGTAATATATTTATGAAAATCCCTGTCAGATTTGTATCCAAAGCAGTGACTTTTAAAGGGGCACATAATACAGAACTATCGACTAATTTCATTTGGTCCCTGCCAAGCGCGCATACTTGCACGTGGTTCCCAAAGGTTAGTGCCAACCTATTATGGAAGGCTGTTTACATATAGTCTTTCTCTGCCATGCATGTGGTTTATACCATTGAGAAAATCTGACAGACTATTTAAGAAAACCTTAAAACCAAGTGGTGTCGTACTTAAAAAAAGAAAGAGAGTTATTCACTGGTGCCTTATGGTCAGCTCTAATTTGAGAGAGCACTTAGTTTTGTGATGAAAATAGAATTAAAGATGGAATATATTCAAAGATAGCTCACAAGATAGGAGCTTGTTAAATAATGACGTAAGGAAAAAACAAACCGAGGAAAAAGTAAACACTTTAGTCTCTATCTGTACCTACTATAATATGGGTGTGTACATGTGACATTGGCATTAAAAATAGTAATAAACATGTATGGTGAAGAAACTGAGTGGCATGAACTGTCTAGACCAGGTGGCCCTGGTCCTAGGTATGATTGATGAATATAAAGCCTTTTCATTCCTGATCACTCACCTGACCATAAAACAGCTCTGACAAGCAAGGATGGAAAAGGGGGTAATATAGCTAAGAAAAATTCACTGAACCCCAGTATTTTTAGCACCCCAATGACTATACTGGGAAAATGAGTGAGAGGTGAGTGGCGTAGTAGGGCACACTGCTTCCCAGTCACCAGAAGCATGAGCTTTGGAGTCAGGGCCACCTGAAGTTAAATTCCAACTCTGCCACTGACATGGACAAACTTAACCTCTTTGAGCCTCAATTTCCTCCTCTATAAATTGGGAAGGATAAAACATTCCTTCTGTTGGGAATATGTCAGTATTAAAATGACACGAGTTCATAAGGCACAGCAAACATCCTCGATAGCTGTTATTCCTTACTTCCTGAAATGATCCTAGGTTCTTCATATCCTTCCCTGATCTAGAATGGGGTGACAACAAAGAGTGAGGCTATGAACCCATTGCAGGAAGCATGCTGCTGTTATTTTGGTGATTTAGGAACCTGCGTCTTAATCTGGAGAACAAGTAGTATGGAAGGGCACCATTCGTGCCTTCTCTGGACGGGACAGTGCTGAAGTCATGAAGACTAGTTTGCCATATCAGAGACTCTTCTAGACCCTTTCCCATGTACACCAAACAACAAAGGATTGATGTTTCTTTAAAGGTGTGAGATCCTCTGTGATTCTTTTCATTAAAGGGAGTAGAATTTGGGTTTTGTTTTTTTCCTGGCATTTATCCCTAAACTGAGGAAAAATGACCAGTGACCCTATCCTCCCATTGTATAACATAAAAAACTATAAAACGAAATTACCGTGTATTGGGTTCATAACATGGTAGTTCTTAGCCCTGTGGAGTCTATCAGTCTCATTTAGAAATACAGATAAATGCCTGTACACTTCTACTTAGCAAAAATGATTTCCTCATAAAGTGACAGAGTTAGTGTTTCTCATTTAGTTTGTGACAGGAACCCCTAATCTAGGCTCTCTCCCACTTAACTAAGATGGAATAATTTCTGTTTCACCAAGAGAAATTGTGTTGTTTCTGAAAGCCTTGAGAGGGGCGAGAGGAAGCTCTTTTCTATCTACGTATGAAGTGTGTGTTTCTATTAATGGGATCATTCCCTTCTTAAAAATGGCGAATGATTTTACGTCCCACCCTTTCTAACACAGTTTGTGCCTTTTCCTTTAGGCCCTTGATGGGTTCTTCTTTGTGGTGAACCTGGAAGGCAACGTCGTGTTTGTGTCAGAGAATGTGACACAGTATCTGAGGTATAACCAAGAAGAGCTGATGAACAAAAGTGTGTACAGCATCTTGCATGTTGGGGACCACACAGAATTTGTCAAAAACCTGCTGCCAAAGTCTATAGGTAAATGGTTGTCTGCTGGGTGTCCTCTCTCTTTCCCCAACCACACACACACACATTATCTTCACTGGAGTGCGGAAATTAGAACTGTATTATGTCAGATGGGGTAAGAGTGCCTGGGTGGTTTTTTAGAGATGCTTGTGGTAAGTATTTAACCCTTTGCACTTGGATGTCGAATGTGACTCGACACGGTTAGCAAAAATTATAGAGATTAAAATTACTCTTTGAATGTATCAATAATTTGAAATATGAAAAAATCCAAATAAGTAAGTTTTTATGAAAAGAAACTCCAGTTTTTTATTCTACTGCCACACTTTATAAAATCTGGGGTATTTAAAAAATTAAATCCCGAGTAGAATAAAGGAATCGAGAAAAAAGCAAGCGAGTGCAAAGGGTTAAGCTTAGAGGTAGGTCATGGGGAAAAGGGCATCTTCAGATACTGATCTTGAATGAACGATTATTTTGATCCTATATTTAAAGTACACAGTGATTCAGATGGAAAGTATTTATGGCAACTAATTTCCTGGAGTTTGTTTTTATTGTTTTCCAAGAAGGTAACACATTGCCTCAGCCTATCCAATGCCAGCCAACTCAATGTCGTCCGTTTTCTCTGTGACCATCTAAAAAAAAGCTGAAGGTCCAAGAGAAATTTGAGATTCAACTTATTTTGAGTCCTACAGGTGAAAAGACTATTATGTGTGTGTGTGTGCACAACATTCTAAAAATAAAGTGTTAGGGAACAAGTGATGTATAGAGAGGTTCAAATGCCACCAGCCTGGCAGCCCTGGACAGACTTTGTCCTGCAGACTGAACAGTGGCGCTGCAGCTCATCAGTTGCTGCCTCCTTAGCCTGCCTCTGGTCTCAAATATCCTTGACTGCGTCTTATGTCGGAGATGCAAGTCGGTGACTCAGTGTGGGCCCACCTTAGTTGCTGCTCTAGAGCATCGCTGTTCACACTTACGAAGTGGTTCTTTTTTTAATATTCTCACTTAAACTGATGATAAGAACATCTTCACAGATTGAAAGAAGTGCAGAATAAGGTCAGTCCTGAGTTGGCAAGCATTTCTATTCTTTATCTTAAAACTGTTTATATTAGCTGATCTTATTGTTAACACAGTAAGTAAGAAAAGGTCCTTCTCAGATTCCATTATGGCCCGCTTTTCCTTTCTGTGATAACTCTTTATTCAAAGTGACTGCAACAGTAACACAAAAATGCATGAGTACTTTGTGTAGGACTTCTTTATTACATTCTCTAGTAAATGAATAAGAAAATGGGATTTTTTTTTTATTTCAGGTAACTGATATTTTCAGATCTCTTCAGAAATTTTATGACTTCCTCAAAGGACGTATACTTATTAATTCACTATAATTAATCCACTTTTCTAAAGAGCTCCTTGCCTTACTTTATATTGTATCTTTTTATTTTACTTTCAACTTACTTATTAACCTGAGTTAGTAAGAACTTTTTTTTCTTTCTCGATTACTCTACGAAGTCTCTGTTTTGCAAATAAGTTTAAAAATGTTTATGGTGTCCAAAAACACTCTCACAGAAAAAAGAAAGAATAAAATGGTTATGATAAAATAGACTTTCCAAATGTCTGCGAAGCCATAATAAGCTAGCTGTAGTTATTCTATATTTTTAAAATAATTTCTTATAGTTAATTGATACTGACTTTAATTTCTAGGGTTTATTTCCTTTTTCTCTACAACCCAGTGGCTATGGGTTTAGCATTCGGTTCACTATAGGCCTACATGTCCTTCTAAGTGCTTTCTAACTAGTGACTTTGGAGAGCATATTTGCTTTTCTTATGATTTACCCTTTTTTGATCCTCTGTTTCATTGTCCCGTTCACCCTAATATATTTAGATAAAACATAGAGAATGGTAAAGAAAAGAACGCCAAAATGGGAATTAGGATTGGTTCTTTTTTTTTTTTTTTGACACAGAGTCTCACTCTGTCGCCCCGGCTAGAGTGCCATAGCATCAGCCTCGCTCACAGCAACCTCAAACTCCTGTGCTCAAGCGATCCTCCTGCCTCAGCCTCCCGAGTAGCTGGGTCTACAGGCATGCACCACCATGCCTGGCTAATTTTTTCCATATATTTTTAGTTGGCCAATTAATTTCTTTCTATTTTTAGTAGAGACAGGGTCTTGCTCTTGCTCAGGCTGGTTTCAAACTCTTGAGCTCAAATGATCCTCCCGCCTCAGCCTCCCAGAGTGCTAGGATTACAGGTGTGAGCCACCATGCCTGGCCTAGGATTGGTTCTGATTCTAGCTATTCTGGTAGTTGAAGGTTTCTTTGGGCATCAGTTTTTTTTCATCTGTTGAATGAGGATATTGACTTGGAGATCCATAAACACCCTTTAATTCTCTGATTCTTTCGTTGCTTTCATTGTGTTCTCCAAAACATTTCAAAAATAATTGATGTCTGGCCGGGCGCGGTGGCTCACGCCTGTAATCCTAGCACTTTGGGAGGCCGAGGCGGGCGGATCGCTCAAGGTCAGGAGTTCGAAACCAGCCTGAGCAAGACCCCGTCTCTACCAAAAATAGAAAGAAATTAATTGACCAACTAAAAATATATATACAAAAAATTAGCCAGGCATGGTGGCGCATGCCTGTAGTCCCAGCTACTCGGGAGGCTGAGGCAGTAGGATCGCTGAGCCCAGGAGATTGAGGTTGCTGTGAGCCAGGCTGACGCCACGGCACTCACTCTAGCCTGGGCAACAAAGTGAGACTCTGTCTCAAAAAAATAAAAAATAAAAAAATAATTGATGTCTTTCTTCTCTTTCATTATCTCTTTCTTGAATTTGTATATGTATTTTTTAGTTTTAATACTTAATGTTAATAGATGTGTGAAGTAGAATTGTTCACTTGAAAAGAAATAAGTGACATTAGTACTGTATCTTTAAGGATTTTTCAGACTATTGAAGAAATACACATAGCACAGAGTAATTCAGGAACAGCCAAGTTACAGACTATACACTAAAATGTCTGTAAAATATTGGAAAAGAAAGACCTGTCAGAGTATGCAGTGTGGGTTGCCTAGAGGTTAAATATTGATTGTAGAGGATCTCACCCTTACAGCATGAGTACCCTTGGAGAGAGAAATGGAGGCAGCCTACCGTTTCAGGTAGGGTAGCAGCAGCAGCAAAGCTACTCCATGTGGACTAGGTATGGTGGAATGTGGAGAGGCTTGTGCTGGGGAATGTGAAAGATCTGGTTAGGTGGATGAGATTGAGGGAGATAGTGAGATTGTTATTTATTAGTTTGAATGGCCTTCATATTCCTGACTATATCAAGTCTAAATCCTTTGAAAGAGTTTAATGCATGCTACATTTGGTGCCATTTACAGTGTTTTGAGCATGGTAACATATCTAAATTGAAATGCAAGTAGATTGAACTAAATTTGCAAGAAATCGAAGTTAGGAAGACTCAAAAAGTCGGGAACTATAGTGTTCTAGTAATAAATAATCAAGGCCTGAACTTGAAGGGAAAGAGTCAGGGTGAAGAGTATGAGGTATAGTAAATGTTTTGAAAATTCCAAGAATGTTCCCAAGTTATTAGAACATTAACCAAAGAATTTTTTCTCCTCTAGGTTAAAGTATTTAGAAAGGTATACAAGTACTTCATAAAAGTAAATAACCATATTTGTCCTACATTAGTTTGATAATTCAGCAGTGGGGCGTCCGATGTTAGTTTCTCAGTAATATTCGATGGCTTTTGTCTTGCTCAGTGAATGGGGGCTCTTGGTCCGGCGAACCTCCTAGGCGGAATAGTCATACCTTCAATTGTCGGATGCTGGTAAAACCTGTCCCTGATTCAGAAGAGGAAGGTCATGATAACCAGGAAGCACATCAGAAATATGAAACTATGCAGTGCTTTGCTGTCTCTCAACCAAAGTCCATCAAAGAAGAAGGAGAAGGTAGGACAAAATCTCTAGGCTATTTTATGTATATTCTTTTGCTGCTTCTTTCATTCTTCATAATAATATTCTAAAACCAGTGGTCACACAAAAATTTAGAGACAGTATCTTTTTTTCTTTTTAGTTTTTACTATTTTTGTAATAAATCCAAGTTTTAAGTCTCTAGAGCAGCAGCGCTGTCCAAGAGAATTTTTTGCAGTAATGGAAGTGACATATCTTCAGTGTCCATTGTGACAGTCACTAGCCACATGTGGCTATTGAGCACTTGAAATGTCAATAGTGCAACTGGGGAACTGAATGTTTTGTTTTATTAAATTCACATTTAAATAGCCATATGTGGCTAATGACTGCCGTACTACAGTGGCTCTGTCAGTGGCCAAACCTTTTGGGGATCCTAGGCTCCTTGTGCAAGCTATGTGCCACTGCCCTAGAAAAATGTGCACAGGTACAGAAAACATTTTTAATGTACTTTCAGGGGATTAATGGAATCCATCTTGCTTATCCATGGATACTGGGTCCAGAATGTGTGTAATAAAAGGGTACTAAAGAGAGCATAGAGATGGGAATGGGGAATAGAGGGAGTTTCAGGCTTTAAACTCCTTAGGCTATGCCCCGTAAAGAGATGTTGATGTCGTGTCCACCTCTTGTGCCTTCCACGCAGCTGCTCCGCACAGCTGAGTGTCACTGTCTGTAGTGTGAGACAGTGTTGAAGAGTGCATTCTGCATGTGCAACAGAAGGGAAAGAGCTGACCACTAGTGAATGGAAACATCCCGGGCTGTGTAATCAGGCCAACTGCTAATTCAGCCACTTGCCAGCTCTGTGACTTTGGGCAAGTTCTTTGGCCTCTCTGAACATCTGTTTATTTACAAGTGAGGTCGCCAATACCAATATCAGAATGTAATAAGGTTTAAAATGAATATGACTGAACTATGGTTGGCATTGAATGCTAGTTATTTAATGCTTTTTATTTAAAATATGCAAATATTTTTAAGTTTAAGTTTTACTGGGAAAGAAAGTATTAGAGGTATTATAGATGATACATTGCATTTGAAAATTAAGCTTTTTGCTTAGATATGGAATATCAAATGATTTTATTATGTTTTATGCAACAGAGTAAGTGCTACTAATTATCCCATCTATAATAAACTCAAGGCAATATAAAAAGGTATAGTTGGCCAGGCGCAGTGGCTCACCTGTAATCCTAGCACTCTGGGAGGCCAAGGGGGATTGCTCGAGGTCAGGATTTGAAACCAGCCTGAGAAGACCCAGTCTCTACCAAAAATAGAAGAAATAATGACCAACTAAATATATATACAAAAAATTAGCCAGGCATGGTGGCGCATGCCTGTAGTCCCAGACTCGGGAGGCTGAGGCAGAAGGATTGCTTGAGCCAGGAGTTTGAGGTGCTGTGAGCTAGGCTGACGCCACGGCATCACTGTAGCCTGGGCAACAAAGTGAGACTCTGTCTCAAAAAAAAGGTATAACTGAGCTAATGTATGATTTTGTGCTTTACATTTAAACATTGTGCATTTAAAATCAAATTCTGTGTGTTGACACAGTGTAACATAAGAGCAGTGTTTCTGAGCCTTGGTGTGCTCAGGTTCAAATCCTGACTTTGCCGAGGTTTTGTGTGATGTTGGGCAAGTTACTTAATCTTTGTGCTTTGATTTTCTTCTCTGTTAAATGGAAATAATGCTAGTGCCTGCCTAAAGGAGTTGTTAAGAGGATTAAATGGGTTGATAACCCATAAAGCAGCTAGAAAGATGTTTATTTCATAGTAAGTGCCCCAGAATTTAGCTATTTATTTTGTTGAGGATGATGATTACGTTTTAATTTTGCGATACCAGGTATTGCTGGATGTATTTTAAGAAATTCTTTCTCAGATTTAAAGGTGAGCAATCATAAATCAATGACAAGAAGATCTGAAGAGACTACTTTTTTTTTTTTAATTTAAGCCAGAGTCTTGTCTTGTTGCCCAAGATGGGGTACAGTGGCATGATCATAGCTTCCTGCACCCTTGAACTCCTGGGCTCAAGCAGTCCTCCTGCCTCACCTCTCAAGTACCTGAGATTACAGCCACCATGCTCAGCTGAGGCTGCTTAATTTTTTTTAACAGCCTTTGTCCAGCACTTTTTACATTGAAAGGGCTATGTGATGCGTTCTGCGTGTTGCACAGATAAATCAAACATTTCCCTGTTCTCCAGAAGTGAGCACTGATGCACAAGGTAATTGCCGTGAGCTGAGGAAAGTGCTCAGCATGGCCGTGTGAGAAGCTAGCCGCGGCCAGGATTCTAAGCTGTAATGCAGCTGTTCTGGCAAACGGTGCATTTTCTAGGTACTGTGGAATTTGTTCTCTGAATCTGTGTCTAGATCAATTTATATTCTTTGTTTTAAACTGCATGTCGCCACTGTAGAGATATTTATTTAGTGTGGTAGAAGGTGTATCTAGTTTTCCTATACCATGGTGAACCTCAAACTTAAGAAGCAAACCCTTTGCGAAGCAAACTATTCGATTTTAGTTTTCATCATTTTTGTACATTATTATGAATTAAGCTTTCAGCCATTTATAAGAAAGCATTCCGTTCTTTTCCATCACTGAGGAGGTGGTGTCAGATGGTTAACTCAGTCCGGTGCAGTGGGTGTGGTTTTGTCACGCGTGTGGTGGGGCTTCAGCAGTCCATCCTCTGCTCCCCAGCCTGCCCTCCATGGTGCGCCCTCCCCCCACCTCCCACTGTCGCCGCGAGAACAGCACCAGTGAGAAGCCGAAGTGCGTAGTGTCGTGTCGCTCTCTCCCTTATCGATTTACAAGATTGTGCTGTCATAAACACATTTGGATTTGTTTGAATCACTAAGAAAAGCCCAGTAGGGTAAATGTAAATGTGTGTGCTTTAAGATTTGCAGTCCTGCTTGATTTGTGTGGCGAGAAGAGTTCCCATGAAGGAAAGACCAGTTCTTCCCTCATCAGAAAGTTTTACTACGCGCCAGGATCTCCAAGGTAAGTTTTCTCCCCAAAGAAGAGGACGGAAATCGTTTTAGGATACTTAGGTATTTGGAAATGCCAGCTCTATATTTAGGAGTCTATAATGAAGCTGGGGATGTGATTGCTGCCGGGGTGGGGGTGTGAGGAGCTGGAGGAACAGAGAGACAGTGATTCTCACTGGATACCCTCTTGGCACATGTCCTTGTGTTACCTCTTTTAAATAAATTTATATCAATTTAAAATGTAGTGATTTCCATAGAGAATAGATCAATGTTGCAGGTATAATGCCTACTCTTATTTAACAGGCAAGATCACTTCTTTGGACACTAGCACCATGAGAGCAGCCATGAAACCCGGCTGGGAGGATCTGGTGAGAAGGTGCATTCAGAAGTTCCACGCACAGCATGAAGGGGAATCTGTGTCCTACGCTAAGAGGCATCATCATGAAGGTAAGCATCGCTAGATGATATTTTTCTTAAGGTTGATTTTACTTAAATTATTGCTTTCTGTGGAAGCATTCTCCCAAACAGAGATTCCTGAAGTTCACCTTGGAACACTTGGATCTGGTGACTCTTAGTGTTCCTATGCACTTGTGTCATCTGGCCCAGATGTTGCCATCTAAAGAAAAATTTAATGAGGAAACCTGTAGGACGGCAGAGTGTGAAATAAAACAGGAGATGATAATGTCACAAAGACAGACAAAGGAAAAGGAAGAGGTCATTTCTGTGATCAGATGCATGACAACATAAGGTACCATCTAATCTAAAGAAATGTCATCTGAATCTGCCGGGTACAGCGGCTCACACCTGTAATCCCAGCACTTTAGAGGGCCAGGGTGGGAGGATTACTTGAGGTCAGGAGTTTGAGATCAGCCCAGGCAACATAGCAAGACCCCATCTCTACAGAAAAAAAATAGAAAAATTAGCTGGGTGTCACATTGCATGCCTGTAGTCCTAGCTACTTGGAAGGCTGAGGTGGGAGTATTACTTGAGCCCAGGTATTTGAGGTTACAGAAAGCTGTGATTGCACCACCGCATGCCAGCCTGGGTAACAGAGAGCAAGACATTCTCTAACAAAAGAAAGAAAGAAAAGAGAAATGTTATCTGAATCATAAAAGAAATATGAAAATAAGAATAAATGGAATTTTCTAGAGCTAATGAATCCCTGGTACAAGTCACAGTGGGATCCCCAGCCTCCTTCAAGGTGATGACCAACAAAGACTGTCCAGGTGTTTCCAGAGGGCCCAAAGGTAAAACAACATGTCTCAGGTCACGGGCTGCACTAATAGGACAGCTGGAACTAGACCCCGGACTCCACAGTCATCTTTGAGTAATAATAGCAGCCCTTGTTGAGCACCTGGTCTTTGTGTGTCATCCTGCCTTCTCTGCATCATCCCACCGACCTGCACCACAAGCCTGTGCTGTAGGCATCACATCGCTCACCCCGCAGGTGTGAAGGCTGCGGCAGGTGAAATGACTGCCACGCTAGCATTCAGTGTCGGCACAGGACGTCAGTCTGAACCCGTCCTGGAGGTCACTCTTCTGTACTTCTCCAAAGGTCTTTCCACAAAATCATTTCTCCAGTGCATTTTGGTGTTCTGTTAAAGAGGAGAGAACAAAGAAAAAATCCTTTTGCTTTAATAAGCAGTCAGTGGGGGAGGGAGGTACTTTCCTCCTCCTGTCTCTGCTCTGGCAGTGCAGTTGGTCCGGGTTCCGTGTGCACTGCCAGCGTGGACCCTGCTGCACCGGAGGACGCCTTGCAGTGCAGTGTACCTCGTGATCCAGGTCGGACAACTGTTTGCATCTTTGCAGAAAACTTTGTAACTAAGTATTGAAAATGGAGTTTTAAGTTTGTCACCATCCATTTAAGGTGCATGAATGACCTTGGCATTTCACCAGTAGTGTTTGTAGGTTTAAACTTTATGCATTTTGGATCACTTTCGAAAAAGTGAAAATCATAATAAATGGCCTGTCTCTCCTGCTCTTATTTTTTTCTCTTTTTTCATCCTTTTCATCTTATTTATCTTTATTTCTTAGAAATAAGCACACAATCCAGCCTCTCGTGTCTTCGAGCATTTTTCTTTAAGTTGGAAAGAATAAGAGAAGATAAAGATGCTACATTTGACAGAAATCAATACTTAACCTACCATTTCAGTAGGTCTGGTTTAAAATAAAAAAAAATGAGTAATAACACAAAGTAAGAAATCATCATGAGCAAAACATATTCAGTGTCCTTGGGTCCTGAGTAGCAGTGTCCTACATTTAATTCTATGGCATTCTGATTCCTTACAAAAGGGTTTACACAGATAGCCCAGATATTGAGCTAGATTTAAACAGATGGGACCCACTAAAAGGAAACCCCATATAGACATTCAAACATTTGAAATAGGGATAATAATTTACATTGAATAGAAATCTGCAAAGCTTTGTTTAAATGGGGGAGCTTCCTAAATGCGTTCAGCTGCATGCTTACACATACCTACTTAGCAGCGATGTTGGATGTAGACTAAATGGAAATGAAAATCTTCAGGGATCACAGATCACGGCCAAGGTCAGATAAAATACCATTGGAAATATAAGTCCTGTTATAAAAATTAGATTTATGTTAACCTTTTAGGAACATAATTAGAGTACAAAGCATTAGAGTACAAAGATACACCTAAATACTGTAGCTAACTGAAACTGCCGAGGGAAGTCATGAAACAAATTGTTCAAAGTGAAATTTTACCAAGAAATCAGAATTCACATTGTATGTCAGCCTCTCTCTCACTTATGGCAATTTTGAGGCAAGGTGGGATATGTATGGTCACTTTGGGGCTAGCTAATCAACCCACAAAATTTATGCTGAGGCTTATGTGGTAAAACAGGATAGTTTTCTTAAAATGATTTAAGAGGAAACTGAGTTATACAGGGTTGTTTTTTTTTTCCTGACTTGGAATGTTCTTTTTAATATGAAGTATTAGACAGTTATATCGTTGTTTTAAAAGATAAATCTGAAAATTATTTTAAGAGAAATCATATTAACCTAATTTGTGTTGTATTTTGTTATTATCTTCAAAATAGAAGCACCTTACCCTTGATCTAAAAGTTAAAATAAACCAATACATGTTACTAAGATTTGCACAGTGAGAAATAGAATTGGGGAAAAGTAGTGTGAGATGATGGATTGCACAGTACATAACTTCAAGATGAATATTCAGAGAACATATTTAATGTTATAAATTTATTTTAATATTTGTATTTAAAGGGAAATTAAAATCAAATTGTAGACTTTAGAGATATCATGTTTATGCATTGTGTTTTCTAACATTTTTAACAAATCATTGAACAGCTTGTTTTGAGCTGATAAACAGTTTACACCGTTTTGCCCTGATACTGAAGGCTTAAAAAAGAACTGTTTGAGGGTCTAAGCTCTTACTCTTTTTAATAAGAAAAACTATATATTGAGGTTATTGGTATTTTGCGTGAAAAATAAATGTGCTTTTAAAAATTTATTATGTTTTAACTGGGCACGGTGGCTCACGCCTGTAATCCTAGCACTTTGGAAGGCAGACACGGAGGATCGCTTGAGGCCAGGAGTTTAAGGCTGCAATGAGCTGTGTGTGATCACACCAGTGCCCTCACAACCATGCAACAAAGCGAGACCCTATCTCCAAAAAAAAAAAACAACTAATGATAGTAAGAAAGAAAGATAGAAAGAAAATGTAAAACCATGATACTGTTTATTGCTGTTGTTATGTCTTGTCCTCCCCCATCCGATTTTTTTTTTTTCTCTAAACATGCATTCTGTTTCCTTGCTTGCCTGCAGTACTGAGACAGGGATTGGCATTCAGTCAAATCTATCGTTTTTCCTTGTCTGATGGCACTCTCGTTGCTGCGCAAACGAAGAGCAAACTCATCCGTTCTCAGACTACTAATGAACCTCAGCTTGTAATATCTTTACATATGCTTCACAGGTAAGCCTAGTTCTAAGAAATCATTTTCCCTTTCCAAATTAAGTAGAAATGTAACACAAGTAACAAACCCTCCTAGAGCTTTTCAGGTTTGTTAGACATTTTTTCCCATCAATCCCAGTAATATACAATTAAATTGTTATTAAATAGTGGCTAAAAGACAACTCATAGTACAGTCAGCCGTCCGTATGCATGTATTCGACATCCAAGGATTCAACTAACTGCAGATAGAAAATATTTGAGGAAAAGGCAATAAAAAATAATACAAACTTTAAATTACAGTATAACTATTTACATAGCTTTAACATTGTATTAGGGATTATACACAATCTAGAAATGATTTAAAGCAGCAGCCTCTAACCTTTTTGGCACCAGGGACCGGTTTTATGGAAGACAGTTTTTCCATAAATAGGGGTGGGGGGGCAGCAGCTCAGGTGGTGATTTGAGTGCTGGGGAGGGGCTGTAAATACAGATAAAGCTTCACTTGCTCACCCACCACCCCCCTCCTGTGTGGCCGGGTTCCTGAGTTTCATGGAAGACAATTTTTCCATGCACTTGGGGGAGGTGGAGGGGTGGGGGGAGGCAGAGCTTAGACAGTGATGTGCAACTCGGTTCCTAAGAGACCACAGATTGGTACCTGGCCACGGCCTAAGGGTTGGGGACCACAGAGTGAAAGTATATGAAAGGATTTGCATGGGTTATATGCAAATGCTGTGTCGCTTTATATGAGGGACTTGAGCATCTGTGGATTTTGATAGCCGTGGAAAGTTGGGGTGAGGCAGAGGGCAGGTGGTGTTGGAATCAAACCTGCAGGACAGATACCATAGGACAACTATACTGGCAAAGTAGGACTACACTTTGAATTTAAGCCTTAACACTAGTGAATTTTAAGTCCCAGCAGGAAGAACACAAGGCTAGCACTAACTTTGCTTGGACAGGACTGCCCTCACATTGAGGAAGGGAAAATGATTAGCTCCCGTAGTGATGTGTGTACATGGACGGGAATATTGGTGCCAGTAGTATGATTTCTGCTCCTGTATGTTTAAATCTAAAACTTTCAGATGTATATACTTAGAATATTTTAGATTTTTTCCCTCAAATTTAAATTAACTTATTGACATGGACTTTAAATTGCAAGATAATAAACATTTTCATAAAAAAGGGAAGAAATTGAATGTTGATTTTAAAATTAATGTTATAAACCATATTGTTTTAGAGCACACATTTAGGAAAATGATTAAATTTCAAGTTATATAAATATTTATGTGTATGTTATATAAAACTTTATGAAGTACTATCAGAAGTTATATAAAGTTGCTCTGGTTAGAGATTCCCATTTTATTACATTTCTCAATTATTCACTTTCTTATTTTGGAATAAAAAAAAAATTCAGGCAGCCTTGTTTGCCAACTGTTAATACATCTGACCTCAAACTGAAACAATTTGAAAGTGATTACAGATGTGGCAAATTTCATCCGCCTAACTAAAAGCTGCTGCTTGACAATTTGGGAAACCTGTTTTATTTGGATTTGTGAGCACATTTGGTAACTTGCAAGTGATTGCCAAGGCTGTAAATTAAAGCTCACAGGGCTTAGAAAATCATCCCACGCAGAAAACCTGCTTGTAGTGGTCAGTAAGGAGATGGACTAGAGTTCCCCTGGGAGCAGGGGAGTAAGATCACAAACTGAGGCTCCCTCCCATGTTGTTGGCTCTGATGCACGCTCTTGGAGCAGCAGGGTGAGGGGAAATCTGTTAGACAAGGTGATCTAATCTCAAACAGTTTTAGTAACTCTGCTTTACTGGCTGGCTGTAGAACTGGCAGTTTCTCTAATAGGGGTAAGTCCCCCCCCCCCAATTTGTTGTTCATCTTGAGCCAAGTAGGACATATCAGAGTTCTCCAGGCTTATGGACATGTCTGATGTTAGGAATTGTAATCTCTGGCAAAGAATTGTAGTCAGCTCTATTTGTTTGGGTCATTTATTTAAGACAGTACATGCTCTCAGTTACTTATGAGAAGGATACGTTATGTAATTGCAACCTTGCTAATATCTTATGTAGTAACTGCTATTTCAGTATGGTAGTAGTCAAATTTAAACACATCCCCTCTATAAAACCACAGACATCTTAATGAGTTGCCTGAATAACATCCCTCTTGGTCCAAAACTGTACATGTTCAGTCTTGTCCATAATTGCAGATGGTTTCATCAAAATATTATCTATCCTTTAAATGTAGTCTGTTCTTGTAAAGAAAGGAGGCCATCTTATTTTTAACAATTAATAACAACTTGCTAAGTATTTTCCTTTTATCATATGTTTCTTTCTTTCCTCATTATGCAGAGAACAGAATGTGTGTGTAATGAATCCGGATCTGACTGGACAAGCCATGGGGAAGCCATTGAATCCAATTAGCTCTAGCAGCCCTGCCCATCAGGTCGTGTGCAGTGGGAACCCAGGTCAGGACATGACCCTCAGTAGCAATATAAATTTTCCCGTAAATGGCCCAAAGGAACAAATGGGCATGCCCATGGGCAGGTTTGGTGGTTCCGGGGGAATGAACCATGTGTCAGGCATGCAAGCAACCACTCCTCAGGGTAGTAACTATGCACTCAAAATGAACAGCCCCTCACAAAGCAGCCCTGGCATGAATCCAGGACAGCCCAACTCCATGCTTTCGCCACGGCATCGCATGAGCCCGGGAGTGGCTGGCAGCCCTCGCATCCCACCCAGTCAGTTTTCCCCTGCAGGAAGCTTGCATTCCCCCGTGGGCGTTTGCAGCAGCACAGGAAATAGCCATAGTTATACCAACAGTTCCCTCAACGCACTTCAGGCCCTCAGTGAGGGGCACGGGGTCTCATTAGGGTCATCGTTGGCTTCGCCGGACCTAAAAATGGGCAATTTGCAAAACTCCCCAGTTAATATGAATCCTCCCCCACTCAGCAAGATGGGAAGCTTGGACTCGAAAGACTGTTTTGGACTTTATGGGGAGCCATCGGAAGGTACAACTGGACAAGCAGAGAGCAGCTGCCATCCTGGAGAGCAAAAGGACACAAATGACCCCAACCTGCCTCCAGCCGTGAGCAGCGAGAGAACCGAGGCACAGAGCAGTAGGCTGCACGACAGCAAAGGGCAGACCAAACTCCTGCAGCTGCTGACCACCAAGTCCGATCAGATGGAGCCCTCACCCTTAACCAGCTCTTTATCGGACACAAACAAAGACTCCACAGGTAGCTTGCCTGGTTCTGGGTCAACACATGGAACCTCGCTCAAGGAGAAGCATAAAATTTTGCACAGACTCTTGCAAGACAGCAGTTCCCCTGTGGACTTGGCCAAGTTGACAGCAGAAGCCACAGGCAAAGACCTGAGCCAGGAGTCCAGCGGCACAGCTCCTGGGTCAGAAGTGACTATTAAACAAGAGCCAGTGAGCCCCAAGAAGAAAGAGAATGCACTACTTCGCTACTTGCTAGATAAAGATGATACTAAAGATATTGGTTTACCAGAAATAACCCCTAAACTTGAGCGACTGGACAGTAAGACAGACCCTGCCAGTAACACAAAGTTAATAGCTATGAAAGCTGAGAAGGAAGAGATGAGCTTTGAGCCCAGTGACCAGGTAAGTTAGTAATGTCTTCTCCCAGGTATACTAACCTATATTCATCGAGGATTTTCTCCACAGGGGCGTTTTGATAAAAATAAGGCTTCTCCTTTGTTCTTACGTTGAAATTTTCACTGAAGTTGTGTGTTTTTAAAATACTCTCCCTGGCAAAGAGTGACATTATTAGAGAACGTGGGTGAGCAGACACTGTGGTAAAGGCCGAATGGTAAATGTTTCCGGCTTTGCAGGCCACTCCGCTGGGCTGTCGCAGTGCAGAAGCAGCCATAGACGCTGTGTGGCCAGGGAGTGGAGCTGTGTTCCAAGAAAGCTTCACTTACAGATGCTCAGATTTGAGTTGTATGTCATTCTTATGTGTCGGAATATTTTTCTTTTGAATATTATTTAACCATTAAGAAACAGTAAATCTGTTCTTAGCTCATACAAAAACAGGCACAGGTTGAGGCCACAGGTTGGCGGTAGTTCACTGACCCCTGCTACAGAAGATGCCTCAATTGGAGATAATCGCTTCCTGGAAACTGGCCTTTGTCAGAACAGACTTAATTGAATTATTTCTTATTTACCTTCTCTCTTATTAAGATCAAAGTTTAACTGGTTTTTTGGATCTATTGAAGCTTATTCTACCTCTTTTTATTCTCAACCAAAACTTCTGATTAATGCAGAAGAATTTCTTAGACCATTAGTATAAAAGAAATTTAAAGGGAAATGGATAGTAGAAAGGAGAGGTAAAAGTTGAGTCGATATTAGTGCATCTAAGGCATCGGATGTAAATTCAAAGCTACAATAACAGGTTACGTTATCTGTTGTTCTTCTCTGAAAAATTAATTCCCTGAAAAAAAAAAAAATCCAGGACATCCAAAGTGATGTTCAAAATCATTCTTTTTTAATTGACAAATAAAAATTTTATATATTTATGGCATACAACATTTTGTTTTGAAATACATCGTGGAAAGGCTAAATTGAGCTTAAATACGCATTACCTCACATACCATTCTTTGTGGTATGAAGACTTACAAATCTGTTCTCTGAGCAGTTGTCAAGTATGCAATACGTTATGTTCTTAACTGTAGCCACCGTGTTGCACTATAGATCTCTTCAACTTATTCTTCCTAACTAAAATTTGTATCCTTTGACCAACATCTCCCCAGCCCTCCCCAGGCAAATCATTCTATAATAATACTCTAAGGAGATAATGGAATCATAGGGAAAAAGTAAACCATTTAATATTTTTCTTTGTTTTTAAAACCCATTTTTTAAAAATATGGGTTATTACAGCCACAATGACTTGGCATGAGGTGTCTCCCAGGGAATCAGTGACTGACTGGGGTTAATGATCCAAGACTCCTGCCCTGGGCCACCACTCTCCCACTAATCCCTGCACATGCCCTGCACTTCAGATCTGTTCTTGAGTCATGATTGGTTGGAAGTGAAGAGGCTGCGAGGACTTTCCTACTTAAAATGGCTCACAAATTTCTCTTTGAAATTTGTTTTGCAAGCGGATATTTTATGTGTCACTGTCTTCGGGGACTAGCGGTGGAAAGGGAGAGGAAAGGTGCACGCCCTTGCTGCACCTTGCACCTTGCACCTCTGCTGAGTCGGCAGTGGCTAGCCCTGAGCCAGGCCTGGGCTTGCAGCGGCCATCAGAGATGCTGAGGCCACGTGTGCTCTGCTAGCAGGGCTCCATCGGCCTTCTAAGCACTTGGCTTCCTTATTTCTTTCACTTTGATGCCTTGACAGCTGCTACCATTCCTAAAGGACAGATACAGTTTTTCAAGCCTCTGTGCCCTTCACAAGGAAAACAGAACCAGACTATATAAACATCTTGAAAAATCCTTAAACTTAGATGTTAGTGCGAGGTTCTGTGTAGCAGCTATTCTGTAATGCTGCAAAATCGTTAGATGAGGGGTAACCAGGGTCTCAGCAGAAAGTTAACAGCAATGCCTTGGATAAAGTGAAGTATAAAACCATAATGACAACTGTGACTGTTTTGATCTTTGGAGGTTTACTAGATTAGAATATACAAAGTGAGTGGCAGTCCAAAGTGGCAGGCCCAGATAGCGTCACTCAGGTCTCTTGACACACGCTAGAAGGCAAGGTGGTGACTCATGAGGTCTACCTTAGCTTAGCGTCTAACGTGGGCCAGGCCCTCTCTCTATAAGCAGAATTATTTCTATCCCAGGCCTGAGGCCCTAGTAGCTTAGAGGGTCAGAGGAGGGGACTATGGTTTGGCATTTCTATATTTACGTATACAATTGCACTAACTTCAGAGAAGAAACTGACAAAAGAAAGGGTTGTTGTTTTTTTTTTTAAATCCCTGAGTCACTTGCAGTTTAATACTGTTATTTAGGAGAAACATTTTTCTATTAAAATTGTCTTACCTAGAAAACATAAAGCCCAGAGTATAATCAGTACAGATTTGTTATTTTACGTGTGTGAAAAAGCAGTGTACACAAGCACTCACACACACACACACGTACAGTAAGTATATTTTTCTTAATGAAATCCAGTCCCTCATCTCACTCTCCCTCCACTCTCATTTAAAACTCTACCAAAAATACTGCTTCAGAGCAATTTTAACATCAAAAACATTGCAACTTGAAAAGTTACCACAGGGCGTGTGCATTACCTAAATTTAGATCAAAGTCAGAATAACTTACTTCAAGAAAAAAATGATTCTTTCACCTCCTGCTCACTTTCACCATTCCCAAATACACATTAACTATACCTCCTATTAATTGCTACACAAGTTTATTGAAGACTTTCATTTCAAGTAATACAATATGTTATTAGTAAAATAAAACAAACTGAGCCTGAATTGTACCATTAACTATCTTGTTATTTTGACTCAGAAAAGAGCCATTAATTGAGCGTGTGTTTAACCTATTACTAACTTATTAAGGACAGGAAATATTTCCATCATGCTATTATACTTAAAATAGCATTTTTGACTGAGTAGAGTGCTTAAACGACATTTGTCTCTATAGCATTTCCTAACCAACAGGAAACGGTGACAGAAAAATTTCCAATATGTTTACCAACTTTTAAGTTATATTCTTATTTTCACAGTGGATCATGGTGTATACCTAACCGAATGATGGTATTATGTTCTTCCTGATGCTACTGGGACACTTATAATAGGGTTTGGAAATAGTTTTAAAAGTATATCTTTTTGGTATTTGACTCCATTAGAAGGGCACACCATATTTTAAAACGGTAGTGTCTTGATAATTTTCCTCCAAATGTGATAGAATTGTATTACCATTTCTTGAAAATGTTGTGTAAGGTAAATGTGGTGAAATTAATTACACTTTATATTTAAAATATTTTGAAAAGCTATTTTGTAATTTATTAGAATGCTTACATTATTAAAATGCATGTACTTTTTATATTTCCTTCAGAGAACAAGTTGATTTGGATATATGAAAAATCCTAAAACCAGAAAAATGAAAAATTAAAGAAATCAAGTCTAATTTTCATTTTGTAGAACTTTTATAAAAATCTTTCTGACTCATTTTCTGCCTGAAATAGTTTAAACTAACTACTCAAATTGATGTGGCTAATTTGAGCATTCAAATAGATGCCTAAGCAAAACTTTGAAGTATCTTGGCAAAGCATTTTAAAAGAAGGCATTAATCTTTTTGTCTTGCAAAGAAATTGTGCTTTACAAAGTGGATAGGGACTAGAAGAACTTTTGATGAGAATTAAAGCTTACAAACATTTAGGGGAGAAAATTTTTATCAGAAACAATGTAATCAAATTCATTCCTTCCAGAACTTACATGAATACAGAAGAAAATGCTATAATCATCAAATTTTATTACCACACAACCTAAGGGGTATAGATTTTCTGAACTTTATCTTCTTGAAGAAGAACATATAAAGTAAACTTGATGTCAATTAATGTTAAATATGTACTCTGAAAATTGACAGGGAGTAAACACAGGCAATGCAATATTATTTCCAGTAGGGAAATGTTCATAATGCATTTTTCAAATGGTAAGCTGAATGAATTCAAATAGTGTTCATAGTTTTTATGAGTCTCCATAGAACCAGTTCCTTTTAATATCACCAAGAAGATCCTGCATAGCTTTCTTAAAACAAATATATTTAGTTACTTGTCAGGCCTAAACTGATCTACAATTGAATTGGTTCAACTCTTAAAATGGAGAAGATCAAAATTTGAAAGTTAGTTTAATATATGCTTTTTAAAAATAAAAATCATTCCAGGAAAATAATGGATTTAAATTTTTTAAATTAGAAATTATTTGAAATAAATGTAAACCATCCAAATATATTTTAACATCCCTATATGTATATAACATTAGACTTACATTAAACTCATTATATTAGACACTGGAGTAGATTACAAAGAAAGAACCATGAATACTATCATCAGAACTCTTTGGAAGTATGATCATTATTTTTCCATTCAGGATGGTTTACAATATAATTTTATTTGCATAAAAGATTGGAGTTAAAAAGGAAAGAAGGAAGTCTAGACCCAGACTGTTGTTAATATATGTTGTCAGAAGTTTCTTTTATGTATATCTGGGATTGAGGGCAAATATAAGTGTGTCCATTGAGAAAAATAACATGTTTTATTTTATCATTGTTGACACAAACTTGTTTATTTTGGATATTTCTCTTCAAAGGCAATCTGCAAGGCCTTCTCAAGAAGCAGCTTATTACTTACTACAGCCTCCCTCCCTCCCTCCCACATTCGGAGCTTCTGCTTTTGAAAAATGCATAACACGGGGCAGCATTGTAGTGGGAAAACTTGGTTTCACAGAACAGAGATAATTTTCACAGTTCGTTAGCTCTTCTTTCTGATCTCTAACTATTTTCATGGCAAAACTATACGGATATTTACCACGCATTTTTATGACACATTTTTCTGAGAAATTAATGGAAATTCTAGGAATTTCTATGAACATTTTTAGTCGATCTTGGGGAAATTTTTTTAAATTGTGTGTTAACATGGTTAAAAAATTCATCTCGATGACTGCGTGCCCATTGCTAAGTTCCAGGCACAGTCCTTGGAGGGCAGCACGTGTTTATACTGAGATTGTCTGTTTGTACCTTTATGTATTCAGTGAAATATGATAAGGAAGGTTTACAGTGGAGTCACTTTACATGTGCATTTGAAGTGCACAAAGTCAATTTTACGCATTCAGAAGAAAAGAACAGATGGTTATTAAATGGTTATTTAAGTAATATGTGAGCAGTTTTGCCCACCATTCAGCTCGATGCGTGTGTGTGCCCTAGCAGGGTGACACGAGGTGGGTGACATGAGTTTGCTGAGCTTGGGTTCCCCTGTGGCTCTAATATTGTGAACATGTAACTACAGGCTTTTAAAATCCAGTGTGGCCCCCTTATAAACTACTTCTTTTAGGACTCAGCCAAAGAACTAGGAATGGGCTGCCGCTCTGGAGGAAAAGCTGTGTGTGTGCCCTTGGAGGGGATAGACAGCACAGTGCCTTCCTAGGGAGCTTCAAGGATCATTTTGTCTGTCTCTGACTGTCTGTACTTCAGGATGCTTACTTTGGAACCCAGCCCTTACTTAAAGATGTAACTAACTTCCCCATGTTTTGCCTTCCTCTTTTGGTAGTACTGAGTGGCTAAACTAATGAAAAAATGGTCTTGTAATTGCTCTAACAATGCATTAAGGAAATGGATCTCCAAGTTATTAATAAGCTATTTGTCTCTGAAAGACACATGTCACTTTATTCTATTCTTCCTAACTTGAGAAATAAATATATCCAGTCAGAAAACATTTCATAAAGATATATTACATTTGCCATAAGTTACAAAAATCTTAGCAAATCCAACCTCTACATGGGGAATAGAAATTGCATATAGGATTAAAAAATGTAAGCCAATCTGCTTTCAGTGTAACTCATTATCAGATGTATGACACATATTTCATTTGATTTGCCAGTGTAGATGAAAGGTCTAGTTGTGGTCAAAAATTCAAAGTCCATCCAATGACTGAGGAAACCGCTTAACTTACGTTTTTCCACCTCCACATAAAGAAAAACATTCATACTACTTTTGCACTAGAAAGCAATCCTAGCATGTTAACTCAGCCATTTTCTTGTGTGATTGGCACTAATTTTACCTGGCACATAGATAGATTCTACTTAAAAGAATATCTATAAAATCTAGAATAGATTCCAGTTTAGCTTCCTGGAAGAAAAGTACTAAGTATGAAATAGTGGCGATACTTCACTCTATTATTTTAATGTTGGTGATTGAAAATGAAATTTAAGAAAACAAAAAGGGGGAACCCTAAGAAACATTTTTATGGCTTCTGTACAATCAGGTTAACAAGTGCTATGTTTGGGGACAACCAGTTTTTATCCTGCTTTCCTACATTTGTCACCTAAGCTGGTAAATGACTAAGAAAGCCATTGTCATTCGAAACTGAAAGTGCAAGCAGACAAAAAAGCACTACTCAAATTGAAAAAGAAATGCTCAGTTCATGGTTTCTTCAAGCTTTTTTTGCATCTCCCCCTTTTTGAAAAAGAAAAAAGTCTTAAAAGGAGATGACCATTTGTTAAATGCTCATTCAGTGCAAATTTGTATTTGCATTTTATACCAGTGTTTTGGTTTTGTTATTATTTCTTAGATTTAAGCACAAAACCCAGACCTGGACTGTAAGTCATAGTCCACTCATAATTAATTGGAAATATACATACTCGTAATTAATGGAATGGTTAGCATAAAATAAAGTAGAATTTATAAACTGACAATGTATCACAATGCTGAAAGAACACTTTCTAATTAAGCCATCTCTTGTTATAGATGAGAGAATTGAGGAACAAGAGATTAAATTACTTGTCCTTCATCAATTTAATTTTTTAAAAGATGATGGATTAGCTGTTAGGCCTGAGGTATACATGTATCTGCATCTGTTATTTGGCTGTGGTTCCTTGTACCAGTTAGGTCTGTGATTGCAAACGGGCCTGTTGTGCCCACGCCTGGAGTAGGACTGGATAAACTCTTCTGTTTGTTAACTACAGCCTGGCAGTGAGCTGGACAACTTGGAGGAGATTTTGGATGATTTGCAGAATAGTCAATTACCACAGCTTTTCCCAGACACGAGGCCAGGCGCCCCGGCTGGATCAGTTGACAAGCAAGCCATCATCAATGACCTCATGCAACTCACAGCTGACAACAGCCCTGTCACACCTGTTGGAGCCCAGAAAACAGCACTGCGAATTTCACAGAGCAGTGAGTATGAGATACTGCTGGTCATGCCAAGAAATGTCCATATAATCACTGTCAGAAACAGAGATTATTAAAGCCTGATGCAAACAGCTTAGTCACTTCATGGTTTTTGTGATCAAATAGCACCCTCTACTGTCTTGGTCTTTTGAAACAGTGTTCAAAATGGATTCTAGTGAACAGAGCTCTCTAGCATGCTCCTGTGAGTAATTTAACCAACAGATGCAGGGAGACTGACCTACATTGATGAAGTTCTTCAGCTGGCTGTCATAGTTCCCTTCACTTCAGTTACTGCCTTTGGACATGGAGTTTTAAATACATTTTGTGTCTTTAATATAGAACTGAATACTTAAAATATAGAAAATTAAAGAATTATGCTGACTTTTTAGGAATAGTATGCTATTAAAGATTCTTCTGAAAATATTCAATCATTATATGTGAAAGGGCTATATACATTAAAAATATGTTGCCCAATCTCTTAGGAATCTTTATATAAACACCTGTTTTACATGATATGTTTTCTAAGTTTAATTAGTTGTCTATTTATAAAATATATCTGTTATCTTTTATTTTAAATTTTTAAATTTTATTTTAAAGTTTTTAAGTTTAGGATAAATTATTTACTCTGAGCATTCATTTTATGAACTAGATAGTACCTGAAGTTGTATTGATAGTTTTAAATGGAAGAAAATATGTTTCCTTTAGCAGGCTATAATTTATAGAAAGATAGATAAACCTCTTCAGTGTTAAACTGATGAGCAGAATGATTTTTCCTTTCAAATACAGTTTAACCCAGTGCCTAGCGTTTATTCTCAAATCAGAAATGGCAGCCATTAACCAAATTATAGAATGTCTTTAATGTCTAGATCTTAAGTGATTTCTTAAGAATCAAGGCCATTCTGAAAAGAGTAAAACAAAAGAAAGATGAGTTTTTGCTTATTATCCCTCAAACCTGCCTTTTTCGTAGGCTATGGTGGGGGTTAACTCTGGCCCATGGGAGATCACAAAGTCAAATAGTTGAGAGGTGGGTAAGAAACACACCAGGTAGTTTATGCTCATTGACAGGGCAGGTAATGAAGGGCTGCGTGGGAACTCAGGGTTCCTCCTCTATCTGTAGCAGCTAACGGTATTGCGAGTATTAGTTGGTAACCAGATAACTAAGCCTGAAAAAGTCATGGTTAAACATGGACATAGTTTCCATTCCTAGCCCTAATTTTTCTAAATATTTTATATCCATTGTTGATTGTTAAGAACTTTCTTTTAAATGTGTTATTTCAGAATTTGTTTATATAATTTAGAGAAGATAAAGTACTTGATGTTATATATCTAACGTATTATCGTAATTTATAATATCTTAGTATTGTTAAAATTCAGTAGCATTAAATTACAAGTTATCAATGTGATACTAGCATAGTGCCTAGTACACAATAAATTCTTGTGAACTAACCATAAAAATTATTTTAAATCTTAAATGTGTCCAGAATTCAAAGAAGGTGTACTTAGAAAAGTAAGCAGGGCTCTAAAGCTTTAATACTGCTCCAGGTAACAGAGTTCACACTTAAACATTTTAACTTCCAATGAGAGTAGCCACTTTTAGCCGGGCGCGGTGGCTCACGCCTGTAATCCTAGCTCTCTGGGAGGCCGAGGCGGGCGGATTGCTCAAGGTCAGGAGTTCGAAACCAGCCTGAGCAAGAGCGAGACCCCGTCTCTACTATAAATAGAAAGAAATTAATTGGCCAACTGATATATATATATAAAAATTAGCCGGGCATGGTGGCGCATGCCTGTAGTCCCAGCTACTCGGGAGGCTGAGGCAGAAGGATCACTCGAGCCCAGGAGTTTGAGGTTGCTGTGAGCTAGGCTGACGCCACGGCACTCACTCTAGCCTGGGCAACAAAGTGAAACTCTGTCTCAAAAAATAAAATAAAATCTGAATAGCCTAGAGCTCACTGGCATCTAGGCTGTGAAGATCGTGCAATACCCATGCTCTGTTTCAGAAAACAAAAAACAGACTGAAAGGGACCATCCTAGTTATCATTGCATTAATATCGTTGAATTATGGATGATTTTCCCCTGTACTTTCTAGACTTCCTATAATCTTGTTATATTATTTAGATAACAGATTTTTAGAAAAATAAAATGCTTTTCTCCCATAATATTTTTGTATGGTTCAAATCTAATCTTAAAATTTAAGTATGTATTAATATAATACTCTTCTAACTTTTTAAATCTAATTACCTCTCTCCCTTAATCATCCTCACAGCACATTCTCATTTTATAAGTGAAGAAACACCCACAATACATGTTCTCCCCACTTGTTAAATACACTCTATTTTTAGGTTTTTATCATAATTAAGGAAAATGAAAGCAAGCTGCGGTGTGTATTTGAAAGCAGAACCTTTATACATCTACCATTAAGCACTTCAAAATGAAGGGACCTCACTTGGAGGTTTTCCTCTTTGGAATGTCAAGTTTCAGCAAATGTCTGGCCATTGCCAGCATCCTGGGGGCTGGGTCACAATAGTGCAAACACTTGATCCTGTTGGCCGGTATTGTGCTCTTCTTGCTCCTGTTTAGCCAAATAACTGCCAAAATCTTAAGTATGAAAAGATTTTTACAAATCTGTCCTAACCCATTCTGGATCTGTATAACCAGGAGTGTGGTGGTCCCTGGGTATTGAAGTAGTAGGAGTTCCCTTGCCCTAGATATGAAGAACTGTAGTAAATATCGAAAAAAAAAAAAAAAAATCCTGTAATTTCCCCATTACTTAGAGGTTACCCTTGGTCAGTTTTGCAGTTAAACAAATTGTAATACTGTGAAAGGGATTCTAGGATTTAAAAGTTTGGCATAGGCTTTACATGATGTTCTCTGTGTTTTTAGTTTACGATTAGAGTATTGATTATCATTTTTTACCTTGTTCCTCTTAGTTTTACCTCCCTTTTGGAAAGTAAAGCGTTGACGTGTATATCAGCTAATGTGATTCACTTCCTGAGGAAGGAAGTTGGGGTTATCCACACGCCACAGCACCTGTTTCTGAGTACAAATGGGAACAATTTTAACAGCTTTTCCGAACTATGAAGAGTGGCAAGTCCATGTTATGAAAACTTTGTAGTAATCGCCAACTCTTACTTCTTAGCCGAGGGCCCACATCTGCCCAATGAGGGCATTAGCTATTGGGCTAACTGACGTTCAGAATGATTGTCTCATAGAGGATAAGATCATCTGGTGTTCATACATGTTGAAGATGTTTTCAGTGGCTGCATCTCTCAGTTTTCTTTGGCTTTCATGCAGGAATGATTGGTAGCAATGCCTCTCGGCCCACCATGCCATCTGGGGAATGGGCTCCACAGAGCTCAGCTGTAAGAGTCACCTGTGCTGCTACCACCAGCGCCATGAACCGGCCAATACAAGGAGGCATGATTCGGAATCCAACAGCCAACATCCCCATGAGACCCAACGGCCAGCCTGGCCAAAGACAGATGCTTCAGTCTCAGACCATGAATATAGGTAAGGTGGTTCCAGTGCTCTTTCCTTTCCTTTTTTATGCTTTCTTGGAAGGTAGTATCAGCTCCTTAAGTTCTTTGAAGACATGTTTCTAATTTGCAGTTTAGGTAATCTGCCCATGGGAAGGTGTCAAAAGTGGAATTTTGCTGGAACTCAGTATAGAATCTCAGAGAACCAACTACCTTTGTAATGTTTTATTTTCAGTAAATTGCCTGACTTCAGGCCAGGCGCAGTGGCTCACGCCTGTAATCCTAGCACTCTGGGTAGCCAAGGTGGGCGGATAGCTCAAGGTCAGGAGTTAGAAACCAGCTTGAGCAAGAGCAAGACCCCATCTCTACTAAAAATAGAAAGAAATTAATTGGCCAATAAAAATATGTAGAAAAAATTAGCCGGGCATGGTGGTGCATGCCTGTAGTCCCAGCTACTCGGGAGGCTGAGGCAGCAGGATTGCTTGAGCCCGGGAGTTTGAGGTTGCTGTGAGCTAGGCTGATGCCACAGCACTGTAGCCTGGGCAACAGAGTGAGACTCTGTCTCAAAAAAAAAAAAAAAAAAAATTGCCTAACTTCAACTCTAGGGAGAAGTGAATTAGCATGTTATACTATAAATGTTATATATGTGGTATTTTTTAAATTAAGAAATGGTTCACTGGTACATCAGTAGTTCCTGACTCTGGACGATCATGAGAATCTTTTCAGGAAATTAACATGCAGATTCCTGGGCCACCATCCTAAATGACTAAATCACACTGTCACAGAACATCTCACAGAATGTGAGGATCACTAGAATTCTATTTGGAAATAGTTCACATGGTATTAAAATTAATGATCTGATACATTATATGGTACCATTTAGATGAAATGTCCAGAACAGGCAAATCTATAGAGACAGAAAGTAGAGTAGTGGTTGCCTAGAGCCAGGGATATGGGGGGAAGTGGACAGTGACTCCTAATAGGTAAGGGATTTCTTTTGGGGGGAATGAAAATGTTCTAAAATTGATGGTGGTGATGTTTGTACAATTCAGACTATACTAAAACTCATTGAATCATGCACTTTAAATGGGTACATTGTATGCTATGTGAATTATATCCCAATAAAGTTATTCTAGTAAAAATAGTAATGGTATATACAACTCATAGTTGAGATTATTTTCCTAATCTTTGACATATTAACCTTCCTCTTACCATGTACATTAGCATAATTCTGGTAAGTTAATGTTTATGTTCTTTTCATATATTTAGATGTTGCACAACGAGGAAGAGCTAAATCATTCACAGAAAGATGCCAGGATTGTTTTGACAGGATAATGCAGAATTATCATCCTAACTCTGGCATCAGTCAGTTTTCTTACTTAGTTATTTAATTGCTCAGCACATTTTGGCTTGTTGTTTTTGAGAGATGACATTTCTATTGCCTTTCTACATCGAGTGTATTCAAAGTCATGAGTAGTTCCCAAACATAAATTTATATAATTTGAAGGTTACATGAAAATGCTAAGAATAACCAGATCTCTATGTAAAGAGAAATTTTAACATTTATTAATTTATTTAAAATCATAGAAATGAGTTCTTCATAACCAGAAATTTAATTTATTCTCAGCCTTTACTAAAGAGCATCTGACTTTGAGGCTCACAATATGTAGCTGAATTTCTCTGATTTTTAATAAACTCAAAAAAGCTGTGAATTAAACAGAAAATTATCTATTTTAATGAAGACAATAATGATAATAGAATATTTAAAAGCTCATGTCATCCCTTAGCTTTAAAGCCTCCAGAAGAACTTCTGAGAAAGAGCATGTCTGAGTTGTCTGGGCCTCCTTTCCGCTGCACGCTGCCGCTGGTGCAGGAGCTAACCGAAGTGCAGCCAGGACAAGTTTAGGAGCAAGTGGTGCAGACCAGCTCTTCTTAAAAGGATGTTCCAGCACCCTGAAGTCCTTGCAGGGGGTCTGCAAGGCCAAAACTGTTTTCATGATAATAAGGCACTATTTGCCTTCTTCATGCTTCTTACAGTGCAGTAGAGTTTTCCAAAAGTTACATGCTGTCTGATACCACAGCACATGGAATGTGGAAGCAGATAGCAGATTCTGCTCTCTTGTATTAATCCAGACATGAAAGTGATTTGCGAAGATGTAAAACAATGCCAAGAAAAGGGTTTTTTCCATTTTATATTGAAAGATTTTGTTTATATTAACATATAATTTTATTTGTTGTGATTTTTTTAATGGATTAGTACTTTTTTCTATTCGTGAGTTTCAATTTCCAATACAGTAAATGTCTAAGAGGTAACACACAGGAACAAAAGCGCTTTTTTGAAGAGTATAGGTGCTCCTGAGTGCTAACGGCTTAGAACTGCTGATCTAGATCCCTTCCCCGAAATGGGTGATCAGCCTGGATATTTATTGCCTTTATTTCTATTTCAAAACCAGAATGTTATCTTCTTGTTTTCACCTAGATAATTCTGTCTTTTCCATTTTCTGTAAACTAGATATTTGACTTTATATTACATAGCAGAAACAGATACATCCTTGATTACAACATGTAAGATTTTGGGTTTTTTTTCTTTTTTAGGGCCATCTGAATTAGAGATGAACATGGGAGGACCTCAGTATAGCCAACAACAAGCTCCTCCAAATCAGACTGCCCCATGGCCTGAAAGCATCCTGCCTATAGACCAGGCATCTTTTGCCAGCCAGAACAGGTGAGTGCTGAGTGCATCCTAGAGAGTAGCGGTTCATGAGTTCTGTAAGTTATTTTTGGACCTACGCCAGAAGTTAATCTTTTCCTTTTGACTAGTTTTTGTTCATTCCAACTATATCATCTACTCAGTAGGAAATGAAGTTCGGAGGGGGAAAACCAAGAATCAGTAGAACTAGGACATGCCTTTAAATAAGTTACAATTTAGTTGAAAAATAAGATATGTACCCTGATAACTAGTATGAGATAATATGCTTGTAATATGCAGTATAAATGCCCCAAGAAAAATAAGCCATGTTTCAAGAGACCATCCAACTGGAGTGCTGGGGAATGGTTCAGAATCTTGAAGAAAAGGTCCGATTTTAGGAGGCAGAAATGACAGAGAGCCAGTCCAGCTGGCAAAAGCAGCACATCAGAGGCCCAGAGTAGAATTGCTTTCAGTCGAATCAAGGCAGTGGGAGACAGAGGAAGAACCTTGGTCCGGGCAGTATGGCCCATCCCACCCTGGCTGCCAAGAGTGGTGGGAAGAGAGCGTCTTGCAGGTGGCCACTGCTGTCACACTTGGGGGTGCTAGTTTCTCAAGATCCTTCCAGCTCTTTGGTTCTAATTTGGTGATAGCAGTGAGTGGTAGATTTTTTTCTAGATATGTTTATTTGACATCTTAGAAACCCACCCATTTCCATGGAAAATTGTACATGACATAGTACAAGTGTATAATAATTAAATCAGGTGCCTGATAGTTGTTTTTGGAAGAAATGTCAAAGATTAGTTTCTAGCGAAAACTAGGCCCGAAATTAGGATTTTACTGTTGCCCAAACAGATGAGAGTTCTGTGAAAACAAAAATGGAAGCAATTCCACAATTACACTTGGCCCAGTTACAGAGTGAGCTTGTTCAGTTTGCTGAGCAAGTGTCTGTGACTTATCACAGCCCAAGTCTGTTGTTGCTTCTGTTAATTAAGTCCCCTTTATAAGTAGTTAATATTTAGGAACAGGTTTTTTAATGTTTATGAAACCAGCATTAGTTTATGTGTACGTTTCAAAATGATAGTCGTTTAGCCCTTAAACCTGTAATTTATAATATACACATTTATTTGTAACTTAGAAAGTTCCCCTTTCTTTAGTTCCATTATGTTTTTTTTCCCTTCATGCATCTGGTTTATAAAAGAAATGTTTAAAAGATAGCCAAAAAATTATGGATAACCTTTTAGAGATTTCTGTTGGATTTATTAAAGGAGTTTTCTTTTGAAATAGAGTAATTGCCTTTCATGAAAGACCTCTTTTCACATTAAGTTCAAAATTTGAGTTAATTTGGTTTTCTCTTATTTGAAATGTATCCATAAGAGTAAAGGTTTTTTTGTTGACACTTTCCTATCATTCAGTAGTTGCTATTTTGCTAATAATAGAATTTTGAAAATTCTTATGAAAAGAGAAGAAATGGTAATGGTATGTGGTTTCTCAAGCAAGAGCTAAATCTGACCTTATTCTCCTTCTTATTCCCATCGTTAATGACCTACTAGTCCATAGATATGTAGATTTTAAGGTATGGGGTTTCTATTGATTATGGATCTGTCTTCTGCTAAATTATTACTATTTTGTAGCAGCCTGGAGTCTATGTGTGTTTTTTCCATCCTTGTTTTAATATTGTATTTATCTGCTAGATACTTTTAGATTGTGACTGTATTGGTAATTCCTCCACACACAGGAAAATAACTTCTTCATTATGTTGGTGGCCATTTATAAAGTTGAGATTGGAGGTCTGGATCAGTACTTTTTCTATAAGCCAAGCATACTATGATGTCTTTAAGGGAAGTGATATAACTCACAGTGTGCCCAAATTTATATTACCAGGCCACAATGCCATGAATTTTGCTGAATATAAAAGTGATTTTTAATATGTTGTAGATCAGGAACCTTTTGTTTTCATTCACTGGAAACTTACTGCACCTATGCTGTGTTTATGTTCAAGCACTGGGCCAACAAAGAGATAGAAGATACAATTCCTGCCCTCACTCAGCACAGTCTGAAGTTGCATTTGCACTTCAGTTGACACAATCAACGTAAATGCCATTATCCATTTAGCATAGCCCCGTAAGTGGTGCAGAGCGGAGAGGAGAGCGTGTGGCTGTGAGGAGATAGGCAGAGCCCTGGTGGAAGATGGGATCTCAGCTGGAGAGGAGCGTGGGAAGGATGGAATGAATGCCAGGGTCTTGGCCCTCTGGTGTCTGGTGGTGTGTATGGCATCCTTAGGAGAAAGATCAGTTGCCCAGTGTGGCTGCGGCTCACGGGGAGGTTGTGGGCATTGAATTTGGAAGTATTGGGCAATACCAAAGGTATTGAATTCTGCCACCACTATCACCCCATCCCAGTGACTTAGACATTTTCCTGGGAAAGCTGAAGAACCACATAAGAATCTTAAGTAGGGCCAATGTGCTCAGTAAAGTATGCTTCTGGAAAAAGGAACGTAAGAGCATCGTATTAGGAGAATTAGAGAGAGACTGTAAGCTAGAAAGTTGTTGGGGAAGTATCTTAAGAGTCCCAGCTTGAGTTGAAGAGGCCCTTGACCAACCTAGAAAAGCCTGGAGGTAATGTTTTACTTTTTAATCTGTGTGTTTGTTTGAGTTTTCTTTTGTTTTGTTTTTAAGAAAAAGCGTGGAACAAAGATGATTGTTTTATCATTATGTAGAGAATTGTTTAAATACAAACAAACATTTGCTTTCATTTTTTGTTTTAAGTACCTAGTTTGTTGCTGGTCTTCCATAGGGTGCAGTGGTCTTATAAAGGCGTGAGATAGTGTCTCTGCTTCCTACTGGCACTGGATTTCAGTCAGGTGCAAGACTGGGAAGTCTGTTGGTGCAGAACCCATGTGGCCTTGCATGGATTAGATTTCATAAGAGCCTGTCATCAGTAGAGAAATCTGGAGTGGGAGGCTTGCATGTGAGTGTAGTTTCTGAAGAAACAGAAGTTGAAAATTACAAATTAAAGCTAGGCAAAGAAAATACTTGAATGCCTCACTTAACTAGCGTCTTTAGGGAATGAGGTCTCCGCGAACTTGGGAAATAGCCGGCATTGACTCCTGGCTGACATGAACTCGTTTTTGTGAAACTTGCCACGTCCATATGCCAGTCATTCTTCACTGGGGAATTCCTCCTCTCTCTGCTTCCACGACAGACAGTCTGTGGTTTTCTCCCTGTCCTGGCCCTGTGGCTGGTTCGCCCACTCCTCCCTCCCGCTCTCTAGGAGAGTGCTGGCGTGGCCTGATCACACTCGAGCAGAGAAGGTTACTTCTGGGACAGCGTGCACTGTGGAAGAGAAGCGGGAAGGAGCAGGAAGCCTTGTGGGTGCCTCTTACTGAGCCAGGCAGGGGCAGGAGCGGGGGGAACATACGCCCCAAGGGTTTGGCAGCCCCTGGGAGACCAGTGGAGCTCTGCTGCAGGGCTGGAGTGGGGTGGCCGTGATGTCTCAGAGGCCGTGGGAATGGGGGCTTGGAGCCAGGGGCCTGCAGGTGAGGAGTGGCCACCAGGAGACACTCAACTGGGAGATCTCGTTTTAAAGTGACTAGGGGTGAATGGAGAGCATCGGTTGTCTTTAACGCACCCTGTTATAACTGTCTCCGTACTCAGCACTGCAGTGTTTCAGGATTCTAGGCCAAAGTAGCATATTAGACCATCTAAAAAAAACGTGGTGTACTGAACTGGGTCAGATAGATAACTCCATTCCTTGGTAAGTTTATTCTCATTCGCTTAAGAATGAGTTTGCTTATCTGTAAACTTTTATTTTTTCCAAAACATCATGTAGTGAATCTAAGAGTACAAAGCAGACTTTTGGTAAAGTACGAGTATCATTTTCCCTTTTGGTATTAAGGTAAGTCAGAAGCTCTTTTTAGAAAGCTTCTCTAATTTGTCAGTTATTTTCTTTTATAAGAGTTTTTAAATACCATAGAGTTTGGAGTTTAGTGTTCTGATTTTATCACCTGTTATATAATAACAGATATAATTTGCACGTTCATGATCCACTTATGTTCCTAACTCAGGAAAGCTAACAGATACACTTCTTGAGGGTTTTAATACCTATTTAGAAGACCTTTTTATGCATTACTAAGACATTTCTTGAGGGCTTTAATACCTATTTAGAAGGCCTTTTTATGCAGTGCTAAGAGTTTTCCTTTCAGCCCAGCTAAATTTTGTTAGGTGCTTCCTACCAAAGTTCAGAAAAGTACTTTAATTCCTTCAGTGCGGAGCAAATGCATACTTGCTGGGGGAGTCAGCACAGATCTGTGGGATGGGATGGGCAGGTGGGCCCTGGACCCCCACAGATGCATGCTAGGATCCTAACTCAGCAGTGTCCACATTTGCGATCTCCAGCAGGTAGCATAGCTTCACTGAGCCTTGGCTTTGCCAGCTGTGAGGTGGAAGATGATGGAAACAGACCTCAGGTGTCTAGATCTATGTCCGGCCTGTATTGGGCACTGTATAAAGGGTATGTTGTTTCAGATTGTCCTTTTGTTCTGTGTTGGGCTGGTACAGTAGTTCATCGCAGACACCTTGGAAATCAGCTGATACTTTTGCCTTTAAGGAAAAAAGTGTTCTCTAACCATCCATAAGCCCAAGCTCAAGTTTTGTCTCTTTACAGGCAGCCATTCGGCAGCTCTCCAGACGACCTGCTATGTCCCCATCCTGCCGCCGAGTCTCCGAGTGACGAGGGAGCTCTCCTGGACCAGCTCTATCTGGCTTTGCGGAATTTCGATGGCCTGGAGGAGATTGATAGAGCTTTAGGAATACCCGAGCTGGTCAGCCAGGTACGCACAGGAGGGCAGCTGGGGGCCACGTGTTCTTCATGCCCACAAAGATGGCATTTTCTTTTGTGTACAGGTGTTCTGCAGCTGCTTTTTAGAACGCTGTTTTTTACTTTGTAACAGGCTGGCCCTGTTTTCTCCCTTCCCCTCTTATTGTTACTCTCATGGAAACTTTGGCCTAAAAATGGAAAACACTGAGAATGAACTTTATGTATACTTTGAGTTATCAAGAAAGGCAGAAACTCAGGTTCCGCACACCTAGCGTCTGCCCTGGCTGACAGGGAGGGACACTCGAGGAACAGAGAACAGAGTCTGTGCACAGCACTTTGCTGCCCAGTGACCTGAGCCCTTCCACCTGGAAGCCAGCGTGAGCCTCTGACACCAGGACCGCTGCGTTCATCTTACCCCTGTGGGCCAGGGCGAGGAAGCTAATGGTGCTGGAAGAATGCTTTGCACATGAGTTAGCAGAAATCATTTTAGAGGCAGCTGCAACTGTCTCTAAATAATTTTGACCTTTGTGTGGGTTTAGCCCACAATAATTTTGGGGATATTTAAGCATAAATGGGAATATGAAAGAAAACCAGTTTTAGTGAACTTACTTAGTTTTCTTTCTCCAGGTAATTCATTGGTTACTTTAAGAAAGTCAGTCTCTACTTTGAAAGTGCTTAATAGTTTGATCGGTCTTGTTGATAAAATAAATAAATAAAAATAAAACAAGAAAGTGCTTGGTAGCAGAGATATAATAAAGAATCTAACATAGGCCGGGCGCGGTGGCTCACGCCTGTAATCCTAGCACTCTGGGAGGCCGAGGCGGGCGGATTGCTCAAGGTCAGGAGTTCAAAACCAGCCTGAGAGAGACCCCGTCTCTACCATAAAAATAGAAAGAAATTAATTGGCCAACTAATATATATAATATAAAAATCAGCCAGGCATGGTGGTGCATGCCTGTAGTCCCAGCTACTCGGGAGGCTGAGACAGGAGTATCGCTTGAGCCCAGGAGTTTGAGGTTGCTGTGAGCTAGGCTGACGCCACGGCACTCACTCTAGCCTAGGCAAGAAAGCGAGACTCTGTCTCAAAAAAAAAAAAAAAAAAGAATCTAACATAGTCTCGTGAAATAGCACAGTACCGTCTGAATCTGGCTACACGGCTAAATTTGCGTGAAGCGGTGCATCCTAAAGAGTAATCTGGAAAAACCATCACACTCTTGTTACTGTCTTCCTCTTTACTCAGCATGAGTCATCTTTATTTCTTATTGCCACGAAGCACCTTCCAGGGTCCGTTCCCCCTCCTGGGTGTGTTGACGTATCACGGGCCTGCGAGAAGGTGCCGCAGAGTCACTGGCGACTTCTCTGAAGCACTCAGATTAGTCTTGTCATAATTCCCGCAGTTCAGCAGACAGAAGTGGGAGTAAAGACTTGTCAATTCATATTGAAAACAGCAGAATGGAAAGAAAAGACTTGAGGTTACAAGCTATAACCTAAAATAAGTCAAGACAGGAAAATGGAGTTTAAATATTTCCTGTGTGGCTGGTGTGTTTTGCCTTTTGTGATAGAATTTAGCATTCGGTATTGTTGTCCTTGAGCTTGTCTAAGTGACATTTAAAAATGAGATCCTTGGAGTTAGTTGCTGAGTGACATGTAACATTTTTATCAAAGCTAGTATCGTGTCATCATTTAATATTTGTAATCCCTTTTAAAATTTATGTGATTTCTATTTTGTCTTATCAAATCCACCATCCTAATGATATTGTCATATTAAACTAAATTATAGAAATATGATTAGGTAGAATCAGGGGAAATGTAGAATACAAATAACTATTTATACTCATCAGCATTGTATATTTTCTTTAAAAATGGAAATTACTTGATCAGATTTTCTCTCCAGTAAAGATGGGCAAATATTTAAGGTTCTGAGATAGTTTTTTGTGTGTAGTAATTCGACGTGAACGGCTGCCGCTGCTTCGGCTCCATCCGCGTGTCTGCAGCAGGCGTGGGAAGGGCAGTGGCCCCAGGCTGTCACAGGCTGGCCTTGGGCTGTGCCGATCTGAGCCCAGGACTCAGGGTGGCTCGGCACGACGTGGGTAGATAGTTTTCTTGAAGGCCTAGGACTGTACTGAGCTAAAGAAAACTTGGGAGACTTCATTGCTGCTGAAGTCCTTCCCTCCTCAGTAGCAAGTACTCCTAGAAGCAGGAGAAGAAAGAGAATGAGCTAGGTACACCTTCCCCTCCACACAAACATAGCCAGGGCCCCTGGGTCTGAGGTGTCCCCTGGGGAGTTCTGGACTTTCCACACCTGCCTCATTCTGGCCCTGGTAGACAGGCAACCCTAAGAAGTCCCAAGTGTCAAACAGCTAGACTGTGTCTAGTAGGTAATGAGCGTGTGGGAAGTTCTGGCAGCCACAGAAAACAAATAATAGGCAGTGAGTCGCACTGAGGATCTCAGATCCCACATCACAGAATGAATTGGAACCCCCCCCACACACTAGCGGAATAGGCTCATTGTATGGTCACTCACTTCATGCCTTTAAGTCTCAGCCTTGCCATCTGCAAAATGGGGGTGATGGTGGTCAGTATCCCAATGCTGCTGCTCCCAGCTAGGTACTAAGTTGTTGAGTAACTGAAACGATTTATCCAGGTGTGACTGATCAGTCAAAAAACTTAATACTTCTAGGCCGGGCATGGTAGCTCACGCCTATAATCCCAGCACTCCCCACTTGGGAGGCCAAGGTGGGACGATCACTTGAGGCTAGGGGTTCAAGACCACTCTGGGCAACATAGCAAGACCCTGTCTCTATAAAAAATAGAAAAATTAGCCAGGTGTTGTGTTGTGCACCTGTAGTCCCAGCTACTGGAGAGGCTGAGGCATGAGAATTTCTTGAGCCCAGGAGTTTGAGGCTGCAGTGAGCTATGATGGCACCACTGCACTCTAGCCTGGGTGATGGAGTGAGAGACCCTGTCCAAACTTAACACTTGTAGGGGATGGTTGCATTTTAAAGTCCAGGTCCATCTTTGATGGGTGTAGTGAGTAGGAGGCGTTCTGGAGTCATGGCCCATTTCTCCCTTGGAAGAAGTGCTGCTCTAGGAGTCAGACTTGACCCTTGCTGCTTTCCCTGTGTAACTGGTCTATTGAATACGGGCATTTTCAAGAAAAAGATGCAGACTCAAGCCAAAGGTACCTTTGTGTAATAAGTACAATATAAAAATCTTTAAATACGTGACAGTGAAAGAAAACAGCCTTATACTGACTCTGCTGTTTTTCGAGTTTTAATTTGTCTGTTATTTGGTGCTTTCTCTTCAGAGCCAAGCAGTGGATCCAGAGCAGTTCTCGAGTCAGGATCCCAGCATGCTGCTGGAGCAGAAGGCCCCCGTTTTCCCACAGCAGTACGCGTCTCAGGCACAAATGGCCCAGGGCAGCTACACTCCCATGCAAGACCCGAACTTTCACGCCATGGGACAGCGGCCTAGCTATGCCACACTCCGCATGCAGCCCAGACCCGGCCTCAGGCCCACGGGCCTAGTGCAGAACCAGCCGAATCAGCTGAGACTCCAACTCCAGCATCGCCTCCAAGCACAGCAGGTGTGTTCTTGGGCGGCGCCCGGGAGTCGGGGGTGGCGACTGGAGAGCGTGGGGAAGGCGAATGTGCGATGGCGTGGCCGTCCAACAGCAGGCAGACAGTGGGCTGGGTAGGGCGTGATTTAAAGTCAAATGTATTGATTCCTATGTGTATGTATTTAGAATCGCCAGCCACTCATGAATCAGATCAGCAATGTTTCCAATGTGAACTTGACTCTGAGGCCCGGGGTACCAACACAGGTAAGGGAACAGACCAGCCATCCACTTTCATTGTATGCATCTAATTTCTCTTGTAATTCCTTCCTCTCTGATAACCTGAGCAAAGTGACTTGGTTGGTCAGAAAATCCTGATCGACACACTGCATCTCTGCTGTCACCCACTTATCTTAAGTATGTCACTTTCGTAGTTCCCCTCTTGACACTATCACTTTTATTGCCAGGTACAGTCGATTCTTGTTATTCTGGGGAATTATGTGACACGAGGTTAGTGCAAACGCTGAATTAGAGAATACGGAACTATTGTTCCTAGGGGAAATACAGGGCCGGGTTCCTGAAAGCCTCTGGCCACAACATTTTCATCAACCAGTCAATACATACCTAGTTGTATGTGCTTCTGCCTAAAGACATCTTATTTAATATGTAAATATGTATTGTTGATTCATTGACACTGAACTCAACAGGCAACAGCACCATAACTCAGACCCGAATGAAACTTACCTACCACACCTGTTTTCTCCTTAAGGCACATCACAGCCTCCTGCGCTTGGGAGGTCTAGACAGCCCTTCAGCGTGTGCTTGAGTGCCATTTTAAAAAACAAAATCACCAACAGGAAAAACAAAAAATGCAAAAATCTTGGCACTGAATAGACCACAGAGAGGGCACTCATTTACGGTACGAGATGAAACAGGGATTGCCTTGTTCAGCCTCAGCTGGAAATGTGCACGTTGGTGTCTAAAATTTTTTCCACTGTGCTCATGTCCACAAGTGACTGACAGTGCCATGTGTATTTGTTTGGGGGTTACAAATAAATTCCAGTTAATAGGCAACTTCACAGATACGGAATTCATGGATAATGAGGATCGACTCTACTTAGGACCCATAAGCAACTTTGTACCTTTCACCGACAGCAAGCGCTGGAGTCCCTTCCCTTCCTGCGCCCTCTTCCCTCCTATATGTTCCCGTTCCCTTCTTCCCCTGCTCTCCTCCCTTTCTTCCTAATCTCTGTGCAGCCTCTTCTGAAGTGTTCCCTATCACCTTTTGTCGCAGTGATTTTTGTTTCTCTTTATACTTGTGTGTCCCTCAGATGAGACTCCTAAACTGCCATCCTCAAGGTTTGTATCACAGAGCCTTCCTAGAGAAAGAACTGTGTTCTTTTGAGGTCCTTCAGTGAATTGTGTCCTTACAAAGTGAGTTGATTGATACTCACGTTGAACTTAACCCTGCTAAGTCATGGCAGGGTTTCAGAATAATCATCATATCTTTAGAACTTAGACGCTCACATTCTCAATCAACTTCAACTTGAAGTTCCTTCCATGTAATTTTATTTTCCAAATAATTTTACACAAGATAGTACCATGGTTTTCCTGTCTGTAATGTTCACTTTGGTTTTTATTCTGTGTCTGCCCCCAATGTGTTTCTCCACGTATTGCCCCCGATCTCAGGCACCTATTAATGCTCAGATGCTGGCCCAGAGACAGAGGGAAATCCTGAATCAGCATCTCCGACAGAGACAAATGCATCAGCAGCAGCAAGTTCAGCAGCGAACTTTGATGATGAGAGGACAAGGGTTGAATATGACACCAAGCATGGTGGCTCCCAGTGGCATACCAGCAGCCATGAACAACCCCCGGATGCCCCAGGCAAACGCACAGCAGTTTCCATTTCCTCCAAACTACGGTACTGGACTTACACCCCCACCACCTTTCAGCAGTCCTTTCTCCCCGGTGTCCCCCAGTCCTGGGCCACAGCTCCTCTCTCTCAGCTCTTTGCATGGCTCCCAGATGAATCTGGCTAACCAGGGAGTGATAGGAAACCCGGGAGGACAGCTGGGGCCTGTCAGGAGTCCCCAGGTCCCACACAGGACCTTCCAGGCTCTCAGCCCAGGTACCACTTTTCTCTGAGCGCAGGTCTTACTTTACGAATGACCGAAGTAAGTGTGTGTGGCGAGTGTGTCTGTGCTGTGCTTGGGCGTGTATGAATGGATCTGTTCGTGCCCGTGTCTGTGAACACAGGTGTGTGTGTGTATATTTATATTTGAACATCTCTGAGTCTGACTCAAGCAAATCAATAGACACAAAATGCTGAAAGATATAAATTTAAATATTACAGCATTCTACAACTTTTGAAAAATAAAGACTTTCAAGATTATACCAGATGTTTAATGTATAGGTAATACTTGAAAAGTACGTTATGGAAACCACAATGGGAGGCCTCTTAGTTTTCTTCATACTGATTTGTTGTTTAACGTCAGTCTTAAGAGATGAGATAGCAAGTGTGTAATGTCATAAACGTTAATATTTGTGTGCATGTCATGGTCAATTAATAGTTGAGTAATATTGATAAAAGTGCTTAACATTAATGACGTTAAAGTCGAAATGACTTTCCCCACCCTTTGCCAGAGTTATCTATAAATAACTATTAAGTCATTGTGTTGTCTAAATCTAAGTCTCCTATTTCTCTAAAAAAATGGAAAGATAATGTATAGCTTTTTTCTTAACTTCTTTAGGTAATTTAAGTATTAATTAAATACGCATATTTTACAAGTCTTCCGGGCAAAAATGGACTAACTTAACGTCATCCCTGAAATATCCTAAGAAGTTGCCACCCTTGTTTTCCCAGCTCCTTTCCTCTCGTTCCTTTTCTTGTTTATTGTAAAGACAGGGTCTCGCTCTATCACCCAGGCTGAGTGCAATGGTGCAATCGTAGCTTGAACTCCTAGCATCAGGGGCTTCTCCTGCCTCAGCCTCACGAGTAGCTAGGATTACAGGCGTGTGCCACCACACCCAGCTAAGTTTTTTTGTTTGTTTGCTTTGTTCTTTTAATTTTTTTTTTTGAGACAGAGTCTCGCTTTGTTGTCCAGGCTAGAGTGAGTGCCGTGGCGTCAGCCTAGCTCACAGCAACCTCAAACTCCTGGGCTCGAGCGATCCTTCTGCCTCAGCCTCCCGAGTAGCTGGGACTACAGGCATGCACCACCATGCCCGGCTAATTTTTTATATATATATCAGTTGGCCAATTAATTTCTTTCTATTTATAGTAGAGACGGGGTCTCGCTCTTGCTCAGGCTGGTTTTGAACTCCTGACCTTGAGCAATCCGCCCGCCTCGGCCTCCCAAGAGCTAGGATTACAGGCGTGAGCCACCGCGCCCGGCTGTTCTTTTAATTTTTTTATACAGACAGAGTCTGACTGTTGCCCAGGCTGGTCTTGTATGCCCAACCTCAAGCAATCCTCCCACCCCAGCCTCCCGAAGTGGTAGGATTACAGGCCTGAGCAACATGCCCACCCTGTGTCCTTTTTAATGATTTAGAAAAGTCTGTCTCAAAACTGAACAAGAAACATACTGAATTTTTTTTCTTATTCTTGCTAATCTTGGATAGCACTAAAGTACCACAAAGCTCTTTATATAAATACAAAACAAGCTAACCATGAGTGCAGTTACTTATTTTTAATAATATGTCCGTCTCATCGTGGAATGACTTAATTCAATGGAAAATTATTCAAGTGTGTTGATTTTAGATATGTAGCAGAACTTTCATCCAATTTAAACAATCTAATTATAGTGATATATAAAAAATTTAAAGACTTTTGTCTATTTCAGGTCACAGAGAAATATGTATGTTTTACTCAGTCTTGCTTTGTAAATGGATTTGAGGAAAGAATAGTGTTTTCTTTTTTTTTTTTGAGACAGAGTCTCACTCTCTTGCCCCAACTAGAGTGCTGTGGCGTCAGCCTAGCTCACAGCAACCTCAAACTCCTGACTTAAGCAGTCCTCCTGCCTCAGCCTCCCAAGTAGCTGGGACTATAGGCACGAGCTACCATGCCTGGCTAATTTTTTCTATTTTTGGTAGAGACAGAGTCTCGCTCTTGCTCAGGCTGGTCTTGAACTCCTGAGTTCAAATGATCCACCCACCTCGGCCTCCCAGAGTACTAGGATTACAGGCATGAGTGCCTGGCTAAGAATAGTGTTTTCTCTAACTGTAGCCATGATGGTTAGTATGGTTCCTGGGCACATTCTAATTGCTATGGAGATTTTTTTTTTCTCCATGTATTTTATCTCAGCTTGGAATCTCTGAAATGTATGTAATTAATCAGCTCATGATCATGTATTTGAAAGTAATTTTCTATGCATACTTAATTTGTAATGCTCTCTTTTCTCCCTTCAGTCACTATGTATGATAAAACTAACAATCCCTTTTGGATTTCTGCTTTGTTTTTTTTAAGGAATAAGTCAGCAACCTGATCCAGGCTTTACGGGAGCCACGACTCCCCAGAGCCCTCTCATGTCGCCCCGAATGGCACACACCCAGAGTCCCATGATGCAGCAGTCTCAGGCCACCCCAGCCTACCAGGCGCCCTCAGACATGAACGGATGGGCGCAGGGAAACATGGGCGGAAACAGGTAGTGCCGTGGTTCCGGGTCCTTTGGGGTTGAATGATCACCAGGGAGACTTTCCACAGACTGCCTGTCCCTCTCCTTTATTTTTCTTTTAACTTCTTTCCTCAAGCAAGTGATATCAAGTAAACTACTAAGCCAGTTTGCTTTTCCTGGGGCAGGCAGGAGTCACCAGAATTTACAAAATGCCTTAGCAAAATGGCTTAGCAAAACGCCTTTTCCTTTGAAGTAAAAAGAACATGTCTAAAAGGAACCACCCCCGAATTTATGATAGAAGCTTCTGTGGAAGGCAGTGACCTAGAAGCTGCGCTTTATCAGTACATGTGATAAAAACAAGCGACAAGCTCCTCAGGCAGACGTGAAAGTGGGGGTATGCTTTGAGCGTCTTGGTAATGTTCCGAAAAGGAGAAGAGCTTGGTGGCCCCTGCAGCTTCCGTGAGCATAGCTTCCCCTGCTGTCTCAGGCCTCAGTGACCCCACCGCCTGCCGGCCACCGGCCACCGGCCGTGGGTTCAGGTTTATTCACTCTAAAGTAAATGCCTGAGAAACAAGTTCTCTAAACTGCCTGCCTCTACTTGCCACCGGGCTCTAACGTTTTCTGTCACCTCTCTGTTATGTTCTAGCATGTTTTCACAACAGTCCCCACCACACTTTGGGCAGCAAGCAAACACCAGCATGTACAGTAACAATATGAACATCAATGTATCCATGGCGACCAACACCGGTGGCATGAGTAACATGAACCAGATGACAGGACAGATCAGCATGACCTCAGTGACCTCCGTGCCTACGTCGGGGCTGTCCTCCATGGGTCCCGAGCAGGTGAGCACCTGAGGCTTTTGATGGTGGCGTTTTGTGTATTTCAGCATCAGATGTATCTTTCCATGTGCCTAACGTCTGCTGTCAACACCAACATTTAGGGCGGGCGAGGTGGCTCACACCTGTAATCCTGGCATTCTGGGAGACCGAGGTGGGTGGATTGCTTGAGGTCAGGAGTTCGAAACCAGCCTGAGCAAGAGCGAGACGCCGTCTCTACTATAAATAGAAAGAAATTAATTGGCCAACTAATATATATAGAAACAATTAGCCAGGCATGGTGGCACATGCCTGTAGTCCCAGCCACTCAGGAGGCTGAGGCAGGAGGATCACTTGAGCCCAGGAGTTTGAGGTTGCTGTGAGCTAGGCTGATGACACAGCACTCACTGTAGCCTGGCAACAAAGCGAGACTCTGTCTCAAAAAAAAAAAAAAAAAAAAACACCCACGTTTATTTTGAAAAGTGTTTTTTCACCTTATTTTCACCTGTGTGAGTGAGATTAGCAAAAATACTTGTTAATGCCAAAATAAACACAAAAGGATTCCTGACTGCTCAAGGACCTTTTAAAATATTTCTTAACTGTCTCATCATTTACATTTTTCTCTTATTTGAGGAATTTTAGCAGTATCTAAAATCAATCACTAAAAATGGAGTGGTGAAATATGCTTTTTAAATAGCTTTATTTTAGGTTTATACTTTAAAAACTGATTTTTTTTTTTTCTAAATGTAAAACCAGATGAAAAGCAAGAGCCAAACTACCTGCCATCCAGTTAGGTTGAAAGGGTACATCACTTAGGCAGGCAGACTAGCACAGATAACCCAGAAACTATTCTAGAAACTATTCTTCGAATCTTTGGAACATGGATGTCATGATTTTTTTTTTTTTGGTCAATTTTTTTTAATAATTCTGTTTTGTGTTGATTAACACTGAAATGATTTTACTGCCCCCATGTACATGCCAGGTTCACTAGGTGGCAAAGACACTCAAAGCATTTGAGATGGTGGGTAAGCTAGCCTGGAGTGCAGAAATCTGTGGCTGACCCAGGAGTAAAGATACAGGTTCATAATTTTACCGTGGTATTTACAGATCTTATTTTTAAAGGGCCCAAAATGCTGATCATTCTACTACTGATCCTCCATAGTTCAACAGAGTAAAAATGTGGCAAGGACCCTGAACCTTGTTTCATATAAAGAAAAATTTCACCCTAGAAAATTTAAATGACTTAAGCACTAAATTATTGACTGTACTGAATTTCAGCTAGAGCAAGATTGTAAGAATGGTGAAAGATTGAAAAGTTTGATTAGGTCTGTTTAATTCTGATGTTAGTAGACTCACAATCTTTATGAAAATTTCCTGAATGTTATAGTGCCTATAAAATGATGATTAATAAAAACGTAAGGTACATGAAAAAAATGTAAAGAAAGCTCTTTGAATTTTAAAAAGGCTATGTGCTTATAGCAATAACTTGTATGTCTACTGTTGACTTTATGGTGGTTAAATGCCTATTTGGGTAAATTAAACAGATATAAATTAAAGAAATATAGACTTTTGTATCTTTTCAATGGAGAAAATACAGGGTTAATGTTAAATTTCGTACAAAAATGGGTTAGTAGTGACCCTTGATTTGCTTATAAGGACAGCATACAAAGGAATGCCACTGGGACAGTCTCACATGGGCCTAGTCCAACCTGCCCAGAAACAATCTGATGCATTTTAATACTCCAGATAGTCTTGACACTTATGCATGGACTTTAAACCTTTTGAATATCAGAGTTAATTTGGAAACCCAGAAAACCAGTTGCAGTGCGTCTTCTGACAAAATCATTCTTCTGTTAGCATTTGTACATTTACTTTGTAATTTATAAAACAAATGTACAAATGCAAATGAATAGTATGCTTTATCAGAGTAAATTCACAAAATCCAGCACTGTTTTGCATATTCACACTTGTTCTTGCTAATTAAATACCTTGCCTAAGTAGCAAAGATGTCAGGAGCCTCTCAGGTGACTTCAAAGTCCCAAATGTGAGTCATTGGTCTAATTTGAACCAGCCACAAAAGTGAACAGGTTATCGCATGAAGATGTGTCTAGTATTATTGTCTCTGTTGAATTTGATTTCTGTATAGAAAGCAAATAAAGTTAAATTTTGAAGGCAGCTAGTTAAGTATCTATTTTCATGTTCCTCTGTATTTCCCCCAAAATATATACATGGGAGAATTGGTTTAGGGAAGAAGCCATTGTTATATAGTCCCTTTCCCCCATTATTAGATTCCTAAAAATAAAGGATAGGAAGGGTGATGGTTGGTTGTTTCCCAGAACACCTGTGGGTGTCCCACTGAACGGCCTGTCTTGTCACCTCAGGTTAATGATCCTGCTCTGCGGGGAGGCAGCCTTTTCCCAAACCAGCTGCCTGGAATGGATATGATTAAGCAGGAGGGAGACACATCACGGGTAAGAAGCAGGGAAGTGTATGAATGTGGTGGAAAAGTGAACTTGAATATTTTATAGATCAAGATTGGCATAGATACATTAGCAACCAATAGATTAAGATAGTTGTAAAGTATCTTCTGATTTCATTTGGCATACAGTGCTTTTGTGTGAATAATTATTGCTTTAAGCTCACTTTAATTGAGCTGATGGTGACATATGAATTAAGAACAGTAATTTTACCCTGGGATGATATTATTACAGCAAAGCAAAAAATAAAGTAGCAGAGAATTAAGTCATGTTAAGGCAAACTTTATTTTTTTATTTTTATTTATTTATTTTATTTTTTTTTGAGACAGAGTCTATCTTTGTTGCCCAGGCTAGAGTGAGTGCCGTGGCATCAGCCTAGCTCACAGCAACCTCAATTTCCTGGCTCAAGCGATCCTCCTGCCTCAGCCTCCCAAGTAGCTGGAACTACAGGCATGCGCCACCATGCCCAGCTAATTTTTTCTATATATATTAGTTAGCCAATTAATTTATTTATATTTATAGTAGAGATGGGGGTCTTGCTCTTGCTCAGGCTGGTTTTGAACTCCTGACCTCGAGCAATCCGCCCACCTCGGCCTCCCAGAGTGCTAGGATTACAGGCATGAGCCCCCGCACCCGGCCTATTTTTTCTTTTTCTGAATCATAATGTTAGATTTTTAGGAGGATGAAGAGAAATTAACTAATAATTGTTCTTTTTCTTATTTATTTATTTACTTATTTTTGAGACAGAGTCTCACTCTGTTGCCCAGGCTAGAGTGCTGTGGAGTCAGCCTAGCTCACAGCAACCTCAAACTCCTGGACTCAAGCAATCCTGCTGCCTCAGCCTCCTGAGTAACTGGGACTACAGGCATGCACCACCATGCCCGGCTAATTTTTTCTATATATTTTTAGTTGTCCAGCTAATTTCTTTCTATTTTTTAGTAGAGGCCAGGGTCTCGCTCTTGCTCAGGCTGGTTTCGAACTCCTGACCTTGAACAGTCAGTCCTCCCACCTCAGCCTCCCAAGAGTGCTAGGATTATAGGCGTGATAATCCTATGGCCACTGCGCCAGGCCATGTTCTCTTTCTTAAGTCTAAGCATTTTTCTGTATTTCATTGTGCTTAGGCAGTAATCTTATGTATTATTTGCTCATTGCACCTTAAACACTTGTTCTAAGGACAGTGATATTACTGTGTTGAGCCAAGTCTTAAAACCAGAGAAGAATTAGTACTTAGAACCCAACTGAAATGTGTCTAGCAGCAGATGCCTTACAGGGAAGGCTCGGTGAGCAGTTTGGCACATTGGTAAATGGGCTGCGTGGCCCTCTTAAGCTAAGGGGTACGACCTTGGCAGTAGATAGCTCTCTTTTTAAAAGTTCTCTCCCAATAGGAAAAATGTAGGGTCGATGTTGGATTTCCTACAAAAAAGGGGGTCTTAGATGGTTTTGTTAATATTAACATTCAAGTTTAGAAGTTAATGGCATAAATTTGATGCCGATTTTAATAACATATTGTGTTAGTGTTCTCCATGTGGTTTCTTGTGTTTTTAAGAAGCATAGTCACGGATGGCAGAGATGCTGGCTGTGGGTGGCAGTCCCCTAGATGTTGTCCATACATGCTCAGATGGTTCACTGCTCAGATGCACACATGCACAAAAACTCACTCAAACCATTTACATATTGATATGTTACTATATTTCATATTGACCATGTGTTTAGACTTGAAATGTGCCATTGATGGAGGTTGACTCCCCCTCAAGGGGCTGGTGTCTTCCCGGATGCCAGTCCTGTTTTCTCCCCTACTGGAAGTGAGTGCTCATGTGACTCAGTGATAGCTCGTGTGCAGAAGTAGAGGCTTGAAGCGCGGGATGCACTTCCCAGAGGCGCAGTGACATTAGTGATAATTAGGCTCCCACAGAGTTCAGCCACTTTAACCCAAAAGTGCCAGGGAGCTTAACCTCTAAGCACATCCTATCTCTGTGGGGTTAGTGGGCACTGTCAGGCACACAGACATGGATAAACAGGAACACCTTGGTCCCGCTAGCCTGCCATGGTGCCCAGCACCGCTGTGCTGCGCATGGTGCCGCTCGAGGTGGTCCCCTGCTCTCCTATGGCTGCCGCCAGCAGTCACCCCTCCCTGGCCGGCCACCCTCTCCCTTGGTTGAATCAGGCTTGGTCACCAGTTCCCTAAGTCTTCAACCCTAGGTATACCACGTGCTAGCTGTGTGACCTTGGGTACATTCAGTTGCCTCATCTGAAGATGTTGGGAGCCTTAGATATCTATGAAGGGCCCAGGACAGTCCTTGGATTGGAGGCCAAAAGGCCCTTCCCTTTCCTCGCTTTGGAGGTTCCTCCCTTCCGAGATGAAGGACCCCAATGGCTGAGGCTGAGGACTCGTCTAAACACACAGCTGCATCTTCACTGTCTGTCCCACAGTACCTGTGAATATCTTTCTCTTCCCTTCAGGATCCAAGTAAAATGAGAAGAGAATGGCACCAAAGAAAATTTATTCCTTTTTTAATTTTTCCAATGCTCCCTGAATTGGAACATTTTTCTCCTGTGAGAAAAATCTCACAAGAGCTTGGTGTTCCCTTTGGAGGAGGGAGCAGTGGAGTGCAAGGGCTGAGAATGCACATTCAGGGGTCAGCCAGCCTGGGGCCGTCATTAAACTCTCAAAAGGGGTGCTTTCCAGGGACAGTGGCCTGCACCTGTAGTCCCAGCGACAGGCTGAGGTGGGTGGATGGCTTGAGCCCAGAGGTTCAAGTCTAGCCTGGGCAAGAAAGTGAGACCCTGTCTTTTAAAAACAAAAACAAACAAAAAATCCAACCCCAGCCCAACAGTGATTCTAAAATATAGTGTGTGTGCTAAAGAGGCAATCTAAAAATAAAGCTCTTGGCGGAGAATCAGGCTTGCAGTATGCCTTAAACATTTGTTGTTTCCTGTAAATTCTTTTTTTTTTTGAGACAGATCCTCATGTTGCCAGCCTAGATGAGTCCATTGCGGTCAGCCCTGGCTCACCAGCAACCTCAAACTCCTGGGCCCACAGTCACCTCCTAGCCCCGACACCTTTCCATACTGGGACTACAGGCATGCGCCGACCACATGCCCGGCTTAAGTTTTGTATTATATATTTTTAGTTGGTCAATTATTTATGTTCTATTTGGTAGAGACGGTCCTTCCCGCTCCAGGCGCGGTTTCCGAACCCTCCGACCCTTGGAGTAATTCCGCGCCGCCTCGCTCCCAAAGGCTAGATACAGCCCGTGAAGCCCACCCACCGGCCCCGCCTGTAAATTTTTTAAAGCCAGAAATGGGCCCCAGGTTGTGCTCCCACACTGTCCAATCCTAGCCCTTTCCTGGCGGAGGGCCTTGAGCGCGGGCCAGCATCGTTGAGGTAGTCGGAGTTCTGGACCCAGCCTGAGCAATGACGTGACA